ATCGTGTGGATTGGTGTCGTAAAATGATTGAAAGATTTAACGGAGGTGACTCAAATGCTGTGTTCGACATACTAACAGGTGACGAAAGCTGGATTTACTGTTAAAACCAAAAGACAATCTGCTCAGTGGGTGTTTCCTTTCGAGGAGTTGCCAACTAAAGTGAAGAGAGATCGAAGTGCGGGAAAAAAAATGGTGGCCTCGTTCTTTGGAAGGATAGGTCATTTTGCAACAATTGTGTTAGAGGATCAAAAAACAGTTTCTGCAGAATGGTACACTACCAATTGTTTGCCACTTGTCTTGGAAAAAGTTCGAGAGAAACGACCTCGCAGTAGGATCCTCCTTCACCACGACAACGCCTCGTCGCACACCGCCAAGCGAACGATCGACTATTTGGCGACATCAAACGTTGAATTACTGGGTCACCCGCCGTATAGCCCCGACCTCGCGCCTTGTGATTTTTATTTATTTCCAAAAATTAAAGAAAAACTTAAAGGAAAGCGGTTTATGAATGCTGAAGAAGCGGTGGCTGCGTATCGCGATGCCATTGAAGAGACCCCTAAGGACGAGTGGGCAAAGTGCTTTTCCCAGTGGTTCCATCGCATGCAGCGGTGTATTGACGTGAATGGACAATATTTTGAAAAGATATAATAAAACTAATAACTGGCTAATGTAATCAGTTTTTGATTTTCTAAGAACTTTCAGTTTGACCCTCGTATGGATATAGAGCTGGATATTTGCCTAAACTTTATATTTAGCAAGATATTTTTTTACAAATTATTATTTTTTGCTATTGTAATGTGTTTCTAAGCATCAATAGGAGAGGATTAGGTAACTAAAAAAATATCCATACTTTAATATTTATTAAACGTATCATATACGGTACATTGCTAAGTATATGTAAATCAATAATAACAAATGCATATAACATATTCGACAAATTGTCAGGCTTACAGATGTTATATTTCATCCAAACTTTAAGAAAAATATCATTTTCATAAGAGAATATATAAATATTTTAGTATTATTTATTTAGCAACTAACATAGCAGTCGTTTATTATATATTTATTTGCGAATGGGCGGGCAAATAAATTCACATTAATTAGTGGAAACAAATTTCGCAATCACCATTCATTATTATTCTACACGTGTTTTGTCACTCATAGAGCTTCCTCAGGACAGCTTTGACCGTATCCTAACAACCAATAGGGTCAAGGAGATCTTAGCTAAATATTGAAATTTTACAGTTACTGTAACGGACTTCCACATGACAGCGCCTGATAATATTTAAGATTAAAAAATCGCTGTAAACTCTTAAATCAATTGAAAAAGTTATATTTTAATTCAATATCTATAATTTTTATGCTCGGAGCCCTTGTGGTGTAATCGAGTCTCACAAAGGACGGTCTTTACATACGTCTTTCGTTTTTTTAAGACACGCAGCTCTTTTCACTCATTAGGTCGTCTGTGTTTATGACTTTTGACATTATCTTTCGATATCACGTAAATAATATGATCCTAAAAGGAGGATTTTAGCCGTTTGTGTCTTCTCTATTCTGCTAATTTCGCATTGTATATCAGTCTCCTTATTCTCGATTTACACTTTCTGGCTCAAGGTTTTTCCACCAATGAGTTTTCTTGCCGGTCTATTTATGGTGTTTCCTGCACTCATGCTTTTAACTTTCTTTGTCAATAGTCCGCCTACTAAAGGTACTTTCAAGATATAAGTTGTTGGACACTTGTACGCAGACTGTCATCATATAAAAAGGAGGACCGTCGGAGCCTGAGATTCAGGTTTCTTTAGGCACAGATGCTACTTAATTTTAAAATGGAGAACAATAATTGTTTTTCTAAATCAATGAAATTATGATTATAAGACTACATTTATTTTAAATAAAAAAAATACCCTGACATATGTCGTTTATAATGAAAAGTTTTGGCTCGGTGGGTACCGCACATCCTTACAGACGCCAGTCGTGCAGTCCGTGTCGCTATCTGTCAGTCACTTTTGCTGCGACCCCCGACGTAAAGAGTTTTTGTCAGATCTGGTTACTGGAGATGAATCATGGCTTTATTACGAGAACGATACACGTCGTCCTTTTTGGCTGCCTCGAGAAGAAACGCCACCAACTCAACCGAAGCCGAGTCAAAAGAACCGCCGAAAAATTCTGCTTTGCTGTTTCTGGGATGCGCAAGGCATACTGTTTTATGAGCTATTACACAATGAAACTATAAACGCTGACAAATATTCAACCCAGCTTACCAAATTATCTGCCGCTATCAAGAAAAAACGACGAAGACGAGTCAATGTAGTTTTACTGCACGATGACGCTCGACCTCACGTCGCATCTGTGGTTCGCCGGCAGTTGGAGAACTTGGGCTGGGAGACGATACCCCACCCGCCTTATTCTCCAGACCTCGCCCCATCAGACTATCATATATTATTTTAACAGATAAATATTAATAAATATAAAATTTAAAAACACCATTATAAAAACAGATAAACTGAACATTGTCTAGTCAATGTATCGTTTTTGAGACGTAATATTTTTTTTTAATAATATTGGCCATCTGGCAATGTACCATTTTGTATACATACGAAAATAATGAGTGATTTCATAACGACACAAAAACAGGACTCACTCAAAGCCAATACAATTATGTTTTAGATACTGACCGTTTATTGTTATAAATTTGATAAATACTATATTGTATTATTGAATTTTTATTATCTTGCGTGGTGTAGGCGCCGGTGAACGGTTCGTGAAATGCGAACTACTAACGATTCAGTAGTTCCATAACTAGAATAATATTTTGAAGAGTGTACCATATATAACACATGTAACTACAAATAAATGTGGAAAAATACTTTTCCAGGTTGTGCAAAATTTTAGAAGTTAACGCATCAAATAATACCCAGTGCCAAGAATAGGGTTAATCGGATGGATTCTTAAGTTTTGTATACATACACTTTTTTTAAGAGATGTCCCATACGTTAGCTTCTTTACAATATCTCCTCTGACGATTCTTATCGCCATTCAATTTGTAAGATATGGCGCATGTGTTTCGTTCGTGTGTATGTTTATTATCCGTATGTTATATTTTTTTGTTAAATACATTATATTTCATCATAATTAGAATAATAATGTCGCCCTTCTATGCTACATGTCTTCTCTATAGATGAAATGTATTCGGAATGAATAGGTATGGGTGTGGTAATAAAGGACGCACGAAGCAGCACGGACTTAACAGCTTTACGAACCTTTTTAAGCACTAAGCACCCCGATAGAGAATTTATGGTCATCCATCCTGTGACTAGTCCTTGCTAGAGTAGCTACTCTTGCTAGAGTAGCGTTAAGCTTAACGCAGCAACAGGACGCGCTAACTACTGCGACTGCTTCTCTCGGCGGACTCCGTGGCTTGTTGTCCTGGCCAAACTTCATCGTGTCTATGACTCCGTGTTGACTTTATGAGATTCATCATCACTACATAGTATAAAACAAAGTCGCTTCCTCTTTCCCTATATCACTATGCATGCTTAAATCTTTAAAACTACGCAACGGATATTGATGCGGTTTTTTTTCAAAGATGATTCAAAAGGAAAAAAAGCCTCCGGTGGAAAGCTAGTATTATATTTGTATTTAGTTAGTTGTTATTAATATAAGATTTTTATAAACAAAGTTCCTTATTTACCTCCTAAACTTATTTTTAATATTCAGAAAAGTCTTTCGTAACATGTGATGGTAAAAAAGTACGTGTCATTGAGATTGTCCGAAACGTTACAATTTCTAAGTGGATTATATTGTCAATGTTGACAAACGTCATGCTATTTAACGATTCACTTGGCCCACATACGGGACAAAAAGGATTGATCGTTGTGCCGTGAAGACATTACCATTAACCGTTGTTTATTAAGGTCCTATGTTAAATTATCTATTTTGGTAAGCTTTTGAATAAAGATAAACGCCAAAGACTGGCTTTGTTACTTTATCACAAGTAGATTTTTACGTATCTTACTTTTTACTTATAAAAATTAAAAACAGAAAAAACTGCTATAAGAATACTTTTTCAATCTTTATAGGCCTTTAAAATCAAAGGAACCTTTGAAAAATTTCTTAGTCGGAATAAAAAAGTGTTAGTTTTCATTTATCGTCGGGGATAGTGCAATAGTGCGTAATAACACTTTTAATTAAAAACTAATTAGTGAGATAGTATAATATTCAATTAACCGACATTGCTCGTGTGATTGCTCAGCTGAAGTGGCAATGGGCGGGACACATAACGAGAAGAATCCATGGCCGTTGGGACGGTAAAGTTTTCGGATGACGACCATGTACCAGCTCTCAGTGGGTAGGCCTGGTGGGGACCAGGTGGATCAACGATATAACAAAGATGCTCGCAGCATAGGATCGATTGTCGTGTAAACCCATGGGGAAGGCCTGTGACTAGTAGTGGGTATCAAACGGCTACTATAATGATTACAATTCAATTAAAATTAGCTCTTGACTGTAAGTATTAGTTACTTGGTATTGATTATCCCCGACATTATGTGCATTATCCTGGTGATGAATTTGATATATTCGAGAAGACACTATGTCAAAATGTAAGCTGTACAGAGGTTGTAAATAGAAGTATTGTTAAAAATTAAACCCTTAAGGATTAAATAGCGTAATTCAACGCGGTAATGTCGCGAGCTATAGTTTATAGTTAGGGTAGTAATATTCACAAAAATCGAACTTTGCAAAAAACTTTCAAATCAGAGGCTTGTGATTTGACTTGATGCACATTTATCATAGAGTAACGACAGACAGGCGAAAATGGATAAGAAAATGTTATGATTGTAAATTCAGTTTTCAAATAATGATCTTTTTTATCTAGTTAATGCCGATAATTTGATATATTTATCAATAAAATAATTTTAATCGCGATACGGCTCTGAAGATTGTGTATTTATAGAGAATAAGTAGTCTGGCGAATGTTTCTACTTGCAGTTACTTCAGAAATGGCTAAGGTAGGTGACAATTTAATAATTCTTCTCTTAACTGCTAACAATAAATGGTAGGTATTATTTTGAACCAAAAAATTTTAAATATCAGTAAATTTTGCCGAAATAAGAACATTATTTAGTTTTTGCTAACAAATTTATATTGAGAGGTCATTAAAATAGTTATAATTTCAGAAGATTTATTGAAAAAATATATATATTTAATATTATACAATAAATTATTGCGATCTAATTATTATTTTAGATCAATTTCGCATTTACAATGCTATACAAAAAATATTCTTTATGAAAAATTCGAGTGGATTAGTTAGCATTTTTCATTGAAAAATATAATAATAAGAACAAAATTTCATCTTTATCGAAAGTTTAAATATTTGTAAAAATTCATCAACCCTATTCATATCAAAGTTTCATGCTTTCATCTTTAAGAATGTTAAAAATACAAACTTTCGTCATATTATCATTAAGAATATTTTATCGTCTATTTCAATAACATTGACCCTTTCGTCATACATGATAATACTTTAATGAAACCAAATTTCATTCAGTAGGAAAAGGGACATAGACATGAAAGCTTAAAGAGCGATAGAGTTATTTTCGCAAAATTGCTAAAAAAAATCACCAGCTTCATCTCAGAGTACCTGGGGCTGATCAATTTTTTAAGCATTTTTCATTTACAATATTAATACGGATGTCAATGCGTAATTTTAAAAAGAATTTGTGCTTCGAATTTGTTGAAAATATGCATGTATTTTTAATTATTATTCAATCAGCAAATATTTTTTCAGGTTAGCATACCAACAGTGACTTTAAACAATGGAGGGAAATTGCCAGTGTTGGGCTATGGCACGTGGCTCGGATTCGATGAAAAGGTATAAAGCATTCATATTCTTAAGAATTCAATCACTCAAAGGGCAAAACGGGAACCTATTACTAAGAATTCACTGTCTGTCTGTTTGTCACCAGGCTGCATCTCATGAACCGTAAAGTTTAGATTGTTGAAATTTTAACAGATTATGTATTTCTCTTGCCGCTTTAACAAACGGATACTTTAAAATAGAATAAAATAAATATCTAAGGGGGTCCCATTCAACAAACTTGATTTTTTTCTTGCTCGTTTCTGGTACAGTAATACATTTAATGCGCTACTCCGACTCCCACTTAGCTCGTTTTTTCCAAATTATTTAATAGCTAGCTCAGTGATTCGGTATTGATGGAATGTGGACCAATAAAACAAACAATAGAATCGTTTAAGCTACTGTCGAACAAACATACAATAGAATAATTAAAACTACTCTCGAACGAAAGTTTATCGATATATCGTTATAAACTTTAATAGTCAAAACGTGAAAGAGTAATAACTGTTAGTAGGATTTTTAAAATATACCTTCCTTGTATGAGTACAATCAAGGAGTAACTTTTAAATATCAAGGACTAATTCAAAATAAGCTATATAGTGAAGCTATTTAGTCGCTCAGTGGTGTAGTGGGTAAGCGCCGCGGCCCGTGATCTTTGTTGTGAAGTAACTTTCGCAAGGTTCGGTCATAGGATAGGTAACCAAAAAAATATTATCACGAGCTACTCCGTACTTCGGAAGCCGTTGGTCTAGGCTGCATTTGCAGTCATTAATACCCTCCAAGCCGATGGGAGGGTATTAATGACATGGCCCATCCTTAAAGAAGGCCTGAGGTTTTGCAGTGGGGACGTAAAGGGGCTGATGATGATGGAAACATAAGCATTTCTCTAGGGATTAGACATATCATTTTCAATATTGAATTGTTACATTAATAAGGAAGGCACTGGCTCCCATAATAGAGTGCAAACTAGTGTGGAAGACAGGGTATAAAGATTATTGTACTGTTAGCATTGTGAGCACAAAAAATAACGCAAAAGTTGTATCATAATTTTAATTTTTCAGCTTGATCCAAGAATATTTGATGTGCCCAAGTTAATTGAGACTTTATCTTATGCTATTGACATAGGATATCGCCATATTGATACCGCGCATTTCTATAGAGTCGAACCAGAAGTGGGGCAGGTTGTCAATGAGAAAATAAAGCTTGGAATTGTAAAGCGTGACGAATTATTCATAACAACCAAGGTAATAAACGGGAACAAAAGAGTGAAAATTTATCAATTAAAAATATGTTGAGGTATTTAATCTAAACCTTCCTTAAAGAAGGAGGTTCTAATTAAGACTGTATTTTTATGTATATGAGTAAGTATATCTCATTATAATAGCTAATCTTTGCTAATGAGTGTTCTATCGATTTTTACTGTATGAAGTTGGTGCTTGTCATGCACCTATTTGAACGAGATCAGTCAGCTCTGTACCTAAATGGTAAAATAGGACCCTGTTACCAATTTCTCCTATTTCCTGTTTCCGGCACGGAACCCGTGCGCGAGTAGGACTCGCACTTGACCGATTTTTATTGTTTTTTATCAAAGTAACATGAAAGAGTAATTAATGATAGTTTCGAACTGAATAGTAATTATATTTCTTCTAAGTCAAGAGTAGAATTTTAGAATTTGGTCATAATGAAATATGACCAGGTATATTGATATTAAAACACACATAATTTTAATATTTTCTTCCGTACAAATAGCGACTTTTAGTTAGATTTGTTTTTATTATTTAAGGTATGGCAAAATTATCACCGCGAAGCAGATGTTGAAGTGTCAGTCCGTGCGTCATTAAAACGGCTCAATCTAGATTATTTGGATCAAGTTTTGATTCACTGGCCTGTGTCAGTTTCCGTAAGTACTACTCCATTTTTATATCTGTATTCACCGACACACTGTGGGTCAAATGGATGGATGACGGCGTATTTTTTTTAAGTTTATATTTATTTCTTATATCATATGGATTATATTCTGTATAACACATTCACTTTATTATAATAAGAGTGGTATTAAATGTACGAAATTGTAGATAAAGACAAGTTAATCTGAAGTTGTAGGAAATTATTACTTAACTGTCGATAGATTGATGGAATATAAAAATAGTTACTATAATGTTAGCAAAAAGATTAATTGGGTAGATTAATTGGGTAGAAGAGATTTTGAAATTCATCAGTGAAGAGGAACTCTCTTCACTGATGAATTTTAATTACATAGATAAGTCCACGCTACAATGGTGCATTGCTATCCTTTATTAAAACTAGCATCAAACCAAAACCCAAAAAACGTTGTCACGCTTAAAAGTTTAAATTAAATGAAAACTACTTCGAAAGGCAGTAAGTGATATCTATTACTTAACATTTATGGTGTGATGAGGAGCTTGATAACGCAGTGGTTCGCGAATTTCTTTCTGCGATGCGGAAATGTAGTAACTTTTGCAAGGGTCGATCATAGAATGGACCAAAAATTTTTTATCTCGAGTTCCTCCTTGATTTTCAAGGCATATTAAGGCATTGTTTTGTGCTGCAACTGCAGTTATCAACCGCCAATTCCAATTGGGTTTGACCCATTCGGATTATTCGATTTGATTCCATCTATAGGCAAGACTTGTGCCCCAGCAGTGGGGATGACTATGATGATGATAACTCTATGCTAGCCGTTGATCTTCTCACATATACATATACAATAGCAAAACAGAAAATCTTTACACTTTGGATATTATAAAAGAATATTCTATGATTGTATTAAACTTTTAAGGAAAACGGAGTTGACGAGAAAATTGACTATTTGGAAACATGGCGTGGATTTGAATCTGTTTTGGCGAAAGGATTAACGAAATCCATCGGGGTTTCCAATTTTAATGTGGACCAATTGAGGAGACTTTTGGCTAATTGCAAAGTAATTCCGGCTACCAATCAAATAGAAGTAAGTATTGGAATGTGGAAAAGTACACAATAGATTTAGTTAATGAATTCATTTATTACATATTACTTACAATTAGGTACTTACTCTATTAAATCTAGTTAAATAAAAAGAAATTATATTAATACCGTATACATTACTTTTGTGATTGGATTAGTTAGTAACCTAAATAGTAGATAAATCATATGAGTATTCTTTTTTAAAATTTAATCAGACTCCCAACAGCCTTCGAATGGGTTGCACTTAGCTTTGAAAAATAAAATTTATATTTTAATAACTGGTTTCGATTTAAAATACACAATATACAATTTTGTTCCTACTAAGTTTCAAATAATTATCTCTCTATGCTAAAGAAGAAAATCTGCCTTCGTTGTAAATTTTGATCGTCACAATGATTTTCGTTATTAAAGGTCAATCTGAACCTGGGGCAAAATGAATTAGTGGAATACTGCCAGTCACATAATATTGTGGTTGTTGCTTACTCACCTTTTGGCACAATGGTACCTGGTCAAGGACCTCCAGACAGCCCCGAACCGAAGCTAAACAATCCAACTTTGGTGGCGATAGCTAAGAAATATGGAAAAACTGTGACTCAGATCACACTGAGATACTTGGTAAATATTATGATAAATCTTAAAAATGAAATTATAGATGTAACTGCTTCTTGTTAAAGTAAATAAATAATAAAGGTACATAATTGTTACACAAATGTAGGTATACTTTAAATTATGTTATGTTTATGGTTCTACAACAAAGAATGCAAATGAAACCATGATTTTACTTGTATTGTCTACCTGACTTTGTCCTTAATATACAGACAATGGAAATTCAGAGCCTGTTTTACAAACACACTATGCGGTCATACAAATTAAGTTGAGACGGACAGCCATTCCTTTTGAAGTTATTATTATTCTATTTCATTTTTTTCACTAATATTAGTTATCGTATATAAGAAAAATTCACCGTCAATTTATAGCTTTCTTCGAAGTTGTTTTTATTAATTATAAGATCTTTTTTCTATTATAAATCAATGATATTTCAAAATTTCGAAGCCCCTACGAACTATATGACTATAAGAGAAAAGATTTTTAATTTAATTTGTTTAGATCAGTAACTCAATCCAGAAGCCCGAAAAAATGTTATCGCGCATTTTAAGAAAATTTGTCTTTACGATTTAGGGTTTATTAATAAGTAAAGTACAATTTACAAAAAGCAAAGCTGCTATCAACTATGCCAAAAGCTATTCTACACTATTCAATAAGTCATAATTAGTAATATAGTTTTGATTCGGAGATCAAGAACGCCAAAATTTACCATTTTCAAAGTGAAAATGGTATAGGTCTCTAAATTAATATTAATATTTTAATATAAAAACACAATGTTAAAGTAATTACAAAAAAAAGTAATAATACTTAACATAAAAGCTATTTAATTATTGGCCTTTGGAGTAAGGCGGTAATAATTTAATAACCTACAGAAAACAACAAACAAACAGTAGTTTCTTTATTAAATTAACCTGATTTAAATATACGCATATTTCTTACTTTTTTAAGTAAGAATCGGTTTTTTTTTTGAAGAAAAAATCCCAGAAGGTCGTCTTTTCGTGATAAAAATTTACAGAAATGTTTTAAATATTTTACTGCCTATTTTTACATTTATTTTGGTAGTTTCGTAAATGGTAAAATAAGGGTAGGGTTTAATTTCATGAAATCTTCAAAAGAATCTTATGGGATTAATATTCCTAGACCATTAGAAGTTTTTTAGTCTCTAAAAAGGTTTATTAAATAATGAAATTCATTAACCTAATATTAAGGTGCAATTAAAATACTGCTCGGTTTTCTGTTCCAGAGAGGCTTAGTGAGCATCCCCAAAACTGTGACGAAAGCTCGGGTGCTCGAAAATGCTACTATATTTGATTTCATCATCGATGATGATGACGTCAAAACGCTCGCTCAATTCAACAACGGGTATAGGACCGTCACGTCCAACTTCTATCAGGATTATGAGAACTATCCGTTTGAAAAACCTTCGGGTGAAAAACAACAACTTCCAAGCAGTTTTCTCAAATGGAAAAATGGAGTTAATGGTGATATCGAATGAGCATAATCTTTAAAATTAAAAAAAAAAAACTATTTTAGCTGTATTTATTTAAAAACTAATAAAATATAAAATGTTTTGAGTGGTGTTGTTTTATTTATCTTAAAGATATTTTGCTTCATTACAATACTGCATTTTAATCGATTTATTTAACCTTAATCGATCTATAGTATCGAGCGTAACTATTTTTGAAGTTTAATTTAATTTATATATATAGACAAATTAATGAAATGAAATTGAATGTTCAATTTCTAAATATAGACAACTTATCGTCTGGTTACTATTAATGTATCAAAGACTTTTTTACGAAAGTTTATAACAAATACTTTGCTATAACAATCAACATCTCAAAATAAGGTATTAAAACTAGCTTAGTGTAAAGGTAGTGGCGTCAATCTAACTGTATATAGATTTTATATACTTATGTATGAATATAATTGAGATGAGCTTAACGAAACTAGAATAAAATGAAATATATATTTAAAACTACGCACAAACTCACAAGACAGGAGACAGACAGCAATCGAAAGAATAAGTAACAAAAATCATAAATTATAATAAAAAAAGTTTAAAAATATCACTTATCTGAAGAGGCTGGCAAAGATGTATATAAAAACATTAATATACTTTTGAAAAATTATTTAATTATTCATATATTTTCAATCATATGCAGGTTCCATGATTACTGGTAAGATGTTGGTCGTCTTTGTTAGTAAATAATTAGATCTTAGGCTAAGGAAAAAATTCAACCATTAAAATAAATATTTATGCTCGAAGCTTAGACTATTTTCACGTCAAGATGTAACAAATCTTGATACATCAAAATAAAATGAGTATTCAAATTTAAGAACAATTGTTTTAATATATTTATTAATATAACTAGAAGAAAAAAAAAATGATTTATCAATTTTGCTTTCACAATACTATTTTCATAATTATAACAATATCTTTTTGCTGATAAAAAAATTATTAACATTGTAATTAAGCATAACTACCATTTAGTTCACATAAGAATAAAAATAATTATTTTTATCAATTACACAATCGTTGAGGGATACAAGACGTTACATAATGTGTTTTCAAGGAAACTTGACTTTTCGAAAACAAATCTCATAAATAGTTTGTTTGCCTTTAAAGATTTCAGCTGATACTTACATTTCACTTTGGTAGATTTCAACACGACGACGGTCGAAAACTGAAGATACTTCTAAAAAGGTTTAGTGATACGTAATGCAAATTTGGCCACAAGCTGCCAGAAGAAGTTTTGGTAAAATTTGAATTGTAGATTATTACAAATAAGTTTATAAAATGGCCACTTGGAGTGCTGTTAATGGATTTCCAAAAAGGTTAGTTTTGAGAATTATTTTTTGCTTTTACTTTTTTAAGTTTAATGTATGATTAACTTTTATAAATTAACGTGGAACTTGTATTCACTTACCTTCATATTTAAAGAAGTAATTTCTTGAAATATTTTATGACTTAAGCTGATATTTTTAGCAATTTACAAGAATTTGAATGAAGTGAGAACTGTTAATAGTTAAAATAATTTTAACTTCATCATCATCAGCTCTTTTACGCCCTCTTAGTTCATGGTTAAGGAGGTTGGGCCATGACCCCTACGCTGGCATAAAACGGATTGGAGAGTATTAACAACAATAGGACCAACAGCTTAACTTACCTTCTGACACTCGGAGTAGCTCGAGATAATATTTTTTTTGGTCACCCATCCCATGACCGGTCCTTGTAAAAGAAGTTTAACAATAACAATTGTGGACCACAGTGATTATCCACTACACCAATAAGTTTCTACTATTATTATCTTACTTCATTAAAATTCTCGTGTATTGCTTAAAAATATTATGTTATGTCATGGTATGTCAATTATGTCATTATTTTGAGTTATTACTTCTCTTGACTATAGATACTAGTAAGAGTCTTGTAGGTAAAGTGTGTGCAGTGGACAAATGTCCCAAAACTGATAAAATTTGCTACTGCCAAAATTACGAGGCACATCAAGCCGTTGGTCATGAATGTATCTCGTCGCGAATTCCAACCATATATTGATGAGTAATTGATAATAGCCGAGGTTGACGAGGGTGGTGTAGAGACAAAATAAAACTACTGATATTTTCAGAATCTTGTAATATCCATAAAACAGGGTGTAAAGTATGTTATTATCAATAATAGTACAGACGTCAATTTGCGTCGATAATCGAAATTATATGATTAAGGAATATAAAAAGCTAACAAAAGGAACCTAATGATGATTTTAAAATACCTATTCAACGACACCCCATTTGACATAGTTCAACGATTATATTATTCATTTTGACAATATGGCGTTTGGTTGTCGCTGTGGTGAATTTTGATTACTGTCATGTCTTTAGTGACACTCGCAAGGTTAAGACGAATCGATTGACGTAAGAATCATCAAAATCGGCCTACGCATTTGGTCTCTAGAATGCCACATAGAAACAAACATACATACATAGACTGATAAACACATTACCCTCTTTTGCGTCACGCAGTCGGGTAAAAACAATCATAAAAAGAGGTCAGTCCAGCTGGTGGTCCTTAACACAAATTAAAATTTTAATTCATTTATAAACTTTTAAACTTTCGCGTTGCATTATATTAGATTTTTTTTTTTTTATATAAAGGAGGGCAAATGACTGCGCTCCACCTGATGGTAAGCGGAGGCGTAGTCCAAGGCGGGTACTAACGCGATAGATTTTGATAGTTAGATTAATACCCGTCTTATACAATCTAATATAATTAATTTCTTACAAATCGAAAAGTATTGAAATGAAGAACTTTCTTAGTAAATAGGTAGATTAGATATTTAATAAAGATCGCATTTTATATTACATTCTGTCGTTAAGTTTCCACATAGATATTTAGTAGATTTGGCTTCTTATTAATGTATATTTAAAATTCGTCAAACTGTTTAAAGATACATACTCTACTCACCAATGTTCTATTTAAAGATAGCACGCTGGTAATTTGTGATATGACTTCCTTGTTTTCGTACGTTTAGTCAGTCGACTGTTGGATACATTTGACAACGCGTGTGTGCAATGGTTAAGGTCAGCAGAGAATCGATTTTTTATTCATTCGATTATATCCATAAAGAAATTATGTAGTCTTATCTATTAATTATTTTACTTTTTAATCACTTTATTTTTGAAATTGATAGTTTGGTTGCTGTTCTAGAATGCCACCGAAATATTTTTTTAATATAATTTTAATTTACAGCTTAATATACCGACGTTTAAACTAAATAATGGGATTGAAATCCCAGCTCTGGGTTATGGAACATGGCTTGGTCTTGACGAAAAGGTACGTGTCCTATGGATCTTTGAATAAATCTTATTGATATTATAAATACGAAACTTGTGAGAATATATCTATATACATATGTTTGTTAATCTTTCACGTGAAAACTACTTAACGGATTTTGATGTTTGGTATGCGGATAATTGTAAGCCTTAATTAACATAATATATTTCATTCCACTAAACAATTCCTTAGGGACTACGCGAGTGAAGCCGCTCTCGGAAAGATAGTATATAGATATAAGCTATTTATTTATATTTACTGATTGTTCATTGTTCAATGAACTCTCTCTTACTCAAGTATAAAGTATTAGTAGCATAATAGTAGAGCTCTAAAGAACATTTGTTAGCCCGTTGGATATATGAAGCACTTAAACAGTCAAGGCCATCTGTAGTCGTTAGCGCCCACTTATCCGCACTGGGTCCTTGTGGCGCGTTATGATCCATTTATTCTATTCTTTTCGGTTTCATCTATAAAAGGCAGGATGGAACACCAGGCTGACAATGATGACCATTAAAAAGATACATAATTATTCGTCTCTTTTGTATGAAAAATGTCATATTGTGTGGATTGATTGTTTAGTAGCGACCTAAGGAGCTTCTTAGCATTCAGTTTGTATGGAAGAAATGTGTAATTTTTACTATTTATTCTGTTCCTTTTAATTTTTTTTTCTCTCCTGAACCTTCTTCGAACTTAAACAAACATTCAAAATGAACATTAACCGAAATGATTAGCTGTTTTGTGTTTATTATTTTTTTAATTAAAATTTGTACTGAATATTTAAATAAGTTAATAATTTAATTATTATAAGTAAATATTAGACAACATTAGATACTACTCACTTTTTATGATAAGTACCAAAACATACAGACCCGGAACAATAAAGAAAAGTTTTTTTTTTTACTTTTAACCGACAAATTTCACATTAATAATAATATGAATGAATGATTTTTATATAATATTTAAAAGGAGATGTCCTGACTTACTGACTGACAGACAACGCACAGCCTAAACCGCTGGTCGTAGTAACTTGAAATTTGGAGGAAACATTCCATTCCACCTTCAGGATGGATTTTTGGAACTTCCATCCCGAAGGTGGTCAAAAAGGCTGAAAAAGGTTGTATGAAACTTCTTTGTTTATGTTTATGTCGATGAAAATTGGTATTAATGATTCTAGGAAGGTAATTAAAAATGGGAATTAAAGATTTTATGGGGAATCAAAATGTTACCATAGCAATCTTTGCTTACCTTATTTACCTTAAATTATTTACAAAATGTTATAAAACAATCGCGCTATTATTTTGTTCTTGAAAAATTGCGATTATTTGTGTTTTTCGTTTCATCAGTAATTAATTTGTCGAGGATAAGTATTGCTAGGTCTTAAGATTTTTAAGTTAATAATTTTCACAAATTCTATTTTATTATATTTGTACATTCATATTATGTTAGCACCTTAGTTTGGTGTCCAAGTATATATATCGTGGCCGGATCGTAGAATTGACCAATTCATGATGTGGCATGTCATAAAATGGAAAAATCTTGCTGCCCGTGTGACCTGGCCAGATCAATGAATAATTTGCGTTTAACGATATGTTAAAGTTATTATTGCAAATGTCAAATAATGAAATTCCTTTTAAGTTAATAAAATTTGTTTTCCATAGATTTTCTTCTACAATTCAATTTGTGTCTGTTGTCAACTAACTGTCAATATTTCTTCCTCTAAAAAGTACAAACAGCCTGAAAAATTATCACCTTATAGTCATCACCAGTTTAACAAACTTCCCATTGCTGGGCTTTCTCTATGCATGGGTCTTGTGTGGATTGGTGTTAACGACTCCAGATGTAGCCAGAACCAACGGCTTAACATACCTTCTGAAGCAAGGACAATCTCGAGATAATAAATTTCGGTCACCCATCCTACGACCGACCGTTGGGAAAGTTGCTTAATTTATCTACCTATCATTTCAACCTACGTACTTTTCTTTGATTATTAAAAATAAAATTTATGTTCCAGGCCAATTTCAGTACAGAAGATTTACCGAAAATGATTGATGCAATGTCTTACGCTATAGACATCGGCTATCGACACTTCGACACGGCTCATCTATACAGGGTCGAACCTGAAGTAGGACAAGTTTTAAATAAGAAGATCAAAGAAGGAGTGGTCAAAAGAGAAGAACTTTTTGTGACCTCGAAGGTATATTTTATTGATTAACTATCGTATTGTTAAATATTTGAATGATAAATAAATAATAATAGTAGGCAATATCACACATACGGAGCCGTATCTAGGGGGGAAGGGGGCTAGCCTCGGGCGCCAGTATTAGCAGGGCGCCAAAATCATAATATAATACGGTTGAAAAAAAGAATGAGCTTCACAAAAATGTTTTAAAACTCACAGATATTATGCTTAAAAAAAGACGCAATATCAATTTCTGCACATCTTGGCAAACATTGTAAATCTGGGCCTGATCGCATACATTGCTTTTCTTTGCCACTCTGTAGTAAACAGTGACGAGCTCAACATTGCGGCAACATTAGAAGTTCAATCAAATAAACCTTTATAACCTTATTAGCCTCTTAACTTGAACTTCTAAGCTATGACGGCGTTGTGCCAGACGTTGCTTGCTACGATTTTTTAAGCTGAATAGAAAATGTGATGTATATTATATGTATATTCTAATATACAAACGTATGGTTTGAGAATCGTATCTCTGACTTAGAAAAGATCTTGAATTTGTCTATCATGCTACGTGTGCTGGTCAGTAGTTAGTTATCCAAAGATGTGAAAGCGTGACGTCAATAAAAAAATATACATGCAGTTGTTTTTGGGGATTAATTAAAAAATAAAAAATCTTCATATTATAGTACATTTTGTGTTTAACTAACAAAATTACTTGTTAGGAGATTATCTTTTTTATAATTTAAGAGTAGATGAATAAAAAGTTATTTACATTTCTTTAAAGTTTTTTAAATTTATACGGAATCCTTGTCGTGGAAGTCGCATTCCCACTTCGTTGGTTTTTTATAAATTGAAGTCTCAGATCAAAATAAATCAGGGGTTAATACAGCCCTGAGTTTCTAAATTTATTGCCGGTTCTTCTCGATAGAAATTCTTCCTTTATTGATTTACGAATCGAAGTCATAGCACTTCGACCTTCACAAACCTAGACCGTATAAATTATATTAAATTATAGCGTTACTTACTTAATTGAGTTTAAGTAACTTAATTTACGTTAACTTAAGTATTTGTGGAAAATGCCATCTTGTAGAGAACGGAGACTAGAGTTAACAGTCAAAATATAAAGACGTCATGTTTTATAATATTGATCCAGAAATTCTGAAGACTACAAAATAAACAAACTTATTTAGCAACTGCCTGTATCTAAAATTAGTACAGACACTAGGTAAAGCAGGACAGTCAGCTGTTGGATAGTAGGTATTCTAGAAAAAAGAAACTTTGACAACTTTTTCTTTAATCACTTATAAATTATTATTAAATTTTATTGTATAGAACACAGCAAACAACGTTAGGTTAGGTTAGAAATTTGATCAGACATTTAATGACATGTTGCCCCCGCTACATACACTTGAATCCAGACGACAAATTAACATTGTGTTCAAATATCGATTTAGTAATACGGAGCCTGGTTTTCTATTTTATGTTCTGTTTATTCTATTGAAACTATCTATGATTAGATATGGCACCAGTACCATCGTGAGGCTGACGTAGAGGTATCAGTACGAGCGTCACTGAAACGGCTAAATTTGGATTATCTAGACCTTATCTTGATACATTGGCCAATGTCGATCACTGTAAGTAATCATTGCTTGTTAAAAGAGAAAATTTATTTTAATGATACTTATTGTTAATAGGGCGGATGACCCGGTTTTGATCGCCAACCTGTTTTGGCCACACCAAGATTATGACCTGATTTTGGCCATTTTAAAAGTTACTAGGAAGTGAACTTTGACACATCATAATTGTTAACGATATTAGTGTTGACATAATACAACATTTAAAAACCATTTACGATAAAGTAATATATCTGCCTACATATATATATATATATATATATATATATATATATATATATATATATATATATATATATATATATATATATATATATATATATATATATATAATATATATATATATATATATATTTGCATTAGTTAGCCTCAAAGTGCTAAATGGCCAAAAAGAGAAATCGGGTCTTCCGCCCTACTTATACCGTTGTTAGAATAGGAATGCTTATCACATAATCTCAGAACGTAGACTGATAGGACAGAGAGAAATATTATTTCAAACACTTTGATATTTGACTTATTAAATGCAAATAAACAGGAATCATTGCATTGTTAATTGATTCGATATGTGAATAAAAAGATCGGTTCAAACATGGAGGATAACAATGCCATTATTATTAAATCCTCAATTGTAAATAAAGGAAAAACGGGCACCGACCACCGCATAAGAACAATTTATTATCTGAAATCTTTTTGCTCATTTAAATACAGCGTCAATTTAAATAAAGTTGGTATATTTGCGCTTAATTATTGAGAGAGAAAATTTTAAAGATGATATAACTATATCATTCTTCATTACATAGGCATAATTGTTTCATGATTAATAAAACTAAAACAAAAAAAAAAATCATGTTAAACAAAATTCGAAATAAGTTCGTGTACTTTTACCATAGACGTGACTAAATTTCAAATTATTTTTTAGCTATAAGTGTACTAAGTCGATATCGATGTTGGAAATAACTGAAAATAACATAAATTTAATTTCAGGAAGATGGAGTAGATGAAAAAATCGATTATTTAGAAACTTGGAGAGGATGTGAATCAGTACTAGAGAAAGGTCTGGTGAAATCAATCGGTATTTCCAATTTCAATGTAGAGCAAATAAAGAGACTAATTGCCAACAGTAAGGTTGTTCCGGCATCGTTGCAAATAGAAGTAAGCAGGAACGGCTCTTTTATATTCAATGATTTAAAATTTAATGTTGCTACAAAGAAATGAAAGCATGCATATAAACCTTGTATTTAAATTAGGCATCAATATTTCTAGTCTTGAATATAAATTAATAGAGTACTTATATTGCAATATTTGTAGTCAAGTGAAACTTTGTAAAAAACTTGAACATTCCTAATGAATTAAAATAAGCAACGAAAACTTTTATATAAATTTACTTAATATTTTTAGGTTAATTTAAATTTGGGACAAAATGAGCTTGTAGATATCTGTCATGATCATGGTATAGTAGTTGTCGCGTATTCGCCTTTTGGCACGATGGTACCAAGTCGAGCAGCTCCTAATAGTCCGGAACCGAAGTTGGATAATCCAACAATGCTGGAGATTGGTAAAAAACATGGTAAAACTGTTACGCAGATTGCACTCAGATACATGGTATGTTCATTCAACTTAATTTTAAACTGTAAATTTGTTAATAAAATATCTAATTATGTATATCAAAAAAATCGCTAGTGATTTAGAACTATACTGGCAACGTATCATCATTACCAGACTATTAATATTCCTCATGCTAGGAAACAGGCTTTCCCAATGGATGGAAACCAATAAGATCAGTGCATGTCCACAAGGGCCCAATACAAATTGTTGAGCGTTTACGATAGCAGATGTAGCTGGTACCTTTCCGAAGCACTGAAAAACTCAAGATAATTAATTTTTGATCACCCATTCTATGACTGACCCTTGAGAAAGATGCTTAACTCTCACATCGCAGACCGAAAGATCGAGCTCGTCATTTAAAAAATGTTTATATTCATTTTCTTTCCAGTTCCAACGTGGTATTGTGAGTGTCCCTAAAACTGTAACTAAAAGTAGAGTGTTGGAGAATGCTCAAATTTTCAACTTCATACTAGATGAGAATGACATGAAAACTTTGTCGGAATTCGACAATGGATATCGAACAGTGCGACCAGTGTTCTGGCAAAACTTTACAAACTATCCATTCGAGAAGTTGCCCGGACTTGAACAAATTGAAATACCTTTATCACTACGAAAATGGAAGAATGGACTTAATTTAGATATTGATTAAGTAAAATCTATACAAAATTTATGAGATATTTTAGTCCAATTTTCTATACTGATAATCTTGTTTTCATTCTATAATGTGTGCATTTAGTATAATTTAGGAACTTACTAATAGTATAGAATGATGTTACATTGAGTTGACTGTGAATTATAAATGGCAAATATAATAATATCTTTTATTGTTACTGTTTTTTGATATGTGGTTATCATTTAATTTAGAACTACCTGTTTCTCAGTGACTTCGCCTGAAAAAGTATTTTATATTAGTAGTTCTCGCTCATGCAGTTATCAAAGTCTTGAAAGTCTGGAAAACTTTAATAATGTGTAATTAATCTTTATTTTTAAGAATTACAAGAATTAAGAAAAACACAGACTCATGTAAAGGAAAACATAGCTATTTCAGGAGACAATGATAGCCTCTTATATGTAAATAATGTTTAATTTAATTACCAACATGATATAAAATCGCTTAATTTAAGTTTTGATGAACAGAGTGCGTTAATTTCATAGTCGAAAATATAAAACCTACACCGACTATAATAGTCTTATACATTAATACCAATATTATAACGAGATAAGATTTGTTCTTGTTTGCATTGAATAGATCTCGAAACAACTGAATCGTTTGTTTTTTAAATTCTTGTACACACAGGAACAAACATTATATGCTGGTAACATTAAATAAGTGAAAGAATTATTTACCTTTGATTAATTTTGCCTTTACATATATTCTTAATAAAAAATGCTTAAAAAATCCACAACCTCCTTGGTTTTCTGAGATGGGACCTGAACCCATGCCCTATCGTAATCTGGGCGACTTCTATAACCAATAAGTTACCCAGGATGTAACAGGACTGACGAGTTTTTCAAGCACTTGTTACTTTTTCGCTATACAGAGCCAGAGACGGGATGGATTTTGTCATTAAGAACATTTTTAAATGAAAGAATGTTGGTGATCGGATCAGTATTTCTCTCCCCGCACAAAGCATAACTACAAACAAATTTAGAAACCTCTTTATAAATTAGTAATAGGTAATATGCCAACTTAAAAAAATAATGATATCTAAACAAGTAAATCAATTATAGTTGATAATTGATAATAGTAGCAGATTTGTATTGTTAAATCGCTAAAACCATATATCTAGTAATGGAGTTGGCTATAATTAACTAGACTCGATTCAAATGCTGAGAGCATATCTTGAAGGCAGACACCGAGAACTATGTCAATTCAACTAGGCAACGTAGGTATGTCCGTCTGGAAACTTTGTTAATAAACACGCTGTTGGATCCAACGATATATTTGCTGTAAAACGTTTGTTTGTATGTTTTGTAAAATTTTAATTGGTTAGTTACATTAATAACCATATAAGACATATCATATATCTTTGTCATCATCATCACCAGCCTATTAATTTCCCCACTACTGGAGTGTTCCCTATATGAGGAAGTAATGAGGAAGTATTTAAAAAAACATTAGTTCTCGAAATCAAACTAGATGTCGCTACGGTACGTTCTTGATTTCTCCATGACTACCTTTCCGGTTTTCTTTCAAGTTTAAAAGTAAATTAGTTTTCAAAACTCAATAAACAACTCATATTCTATTTGTACTTTTTCGTATTTGTATTGATGTCTAAGTTTTGAACTTTTCAAATTTCAGTTTTTTAATTCTTCTTCTTGATATGCCATTCCAATCGGAGGTTGGACAGCATCATGGTTATCTTTATTTTAGAGGCTGCTGCTCGGAACAGGGATGTAGTGCTCCGCCTAAACCAATCCTTTAAATTTAAATTTTCCCCTGAATTACGAGATATAGAACTCTGTATTTGTTATTCCTCATAACGTGGCACAAATAAGAGAGCTTGCGGCACTTGATGGTGTTAATAGCTGATGATCTCTGCCCATCCTTTGGAGCACCTATACCTTGGTCACCCTGTCACGCCACGAGATCTTCAGAATTCGACGGTACACCCACATTTCAAAGGCCTCTAGTTGGTAAGCGCACTCTGTGTTAGTGTCCATGACTCGACCCCATACAATAGCACTGAGAAGATGTACCTAACATCGAACTATACGCACCCGGAGTTCAAGACCCAGATTCCTGTTGCATAGGACCTTACTTATTCTGCAAAATGCGCTTCTGGCCATCTCTATACGAATTCTGACGTCCTTATCCTAGCTGTCTGGTTCCAGTATAAGTTGCCAATGATTCGTATATATTTAAAATCAAGGTTCTTGTTGATGAGTAATTGTAACAACCATCATGTTGGACTTTGTCAAAGGCTTTCTCAAAATCAATGAAACAGACAAACATGTCCTGATTCATGTCTAAACACCGCTCCCCCAAAACTCGGATACAAAACAATGCATCTCTTGTACCGAAACCATTCCTGAAGCCAAACATGGTGTCGCTGAGACCTTCTTCACATTTCCGGTACACTCTCTGATGTATTATCTTCAGGAAGATCTTCAGTAGATGGCTCATTAGGCTGATGGTTCTGTAAGCACCACATGATTTAGGTGGGGTTTTCTTAGGCAATGTGACAAAAGTTGATTCTAGCCATTGTTCTGGCAGAATGCCTGTATCATATACTCGGTTGAATAACCGCGTAAGAGGGTCCAGATCATCGTATGTTAGCAGTTTCAAAATTTCACACTGAATATGGTCTGGTCCTGGTGATTTTCCAGACTTGGAACTCTGAATAGCTGACCAAATTTCGCATTTTTCTATCTCCATCCCAGTGCCCACATCTTTAACAAAATTCCAACTCTCCGATCTCGAATTGTCTCTAAATAACTCCTCCACGTATTCAGCCCAAACGATCAACTGCTCCCTGATGTCTAAAATAGGAATCTTATTTCGCCTTAGTGTAGGTCTATGTCTTTTACGGTTTCTGCCAGTCATATCTTGATCTTATTGTGAACTGTGAAAGCATCATTTTTTGACATGGCAGTCTCCACTTCATGACACTGTTCTGCCCACCATTTGTTCTGAGCAATTTTGCACTCATGGCGAACTTGTAAATGTAGCTCTTTATATTTGACGACATCAGTGTGCTTGTAATTCCTTCTTTCTGTCATAAGCCTCAAAATCTTATCCGTTATCCAGGACTTTTTTTTAATGGGTACACGTTTAAGTTTATCCGAAGCATTAAGTACAGCCTGTTGTGATATTGTATAAGCAGAGTTTACGTTCTTAATCGGTTTTGACTTCAAAGGTTTAATTCTCTCCAGCAAAACGTTACAGACTTCAGCTGAAATAAGTGGGTTTTTTAACTGATATGCGTCCATTCTAAGCCTATAGTTCTTCTTTGGCACCTTTTTGAGCGTTAAATTAATGTCCAAAACTACCGGATTGTGGTCCGAAACGATGTCTACTCCTGGGTAAGTCTTCGTTGAATTCACACTATTGCGGAACCTCCTATTCACTAGGATGAAATCAATTTGATTTCTGAGCACTTTTCCATCTCCGCGGTGGCAACTTAAAGGTGGTGTTCATAGCCACCTAATCTTTTTCTCGGCAGAACTGTACTAAGCGGTCACCCCTCTCGTTTCGGTCACCGAGTCCGAACGAGCCGACATTATTTCCATCAGCACCGCTGCCAATTTTAGCGTTAAAATCGCCCATAACCACAATTAGATCATGCTTCTTAGTAAACTGCAGCGTCCTATCTATATCTCCATAAAACTCTTCTACATGATCGTTATATTTATCTGCAGTTGGTGCATATATTTTAATGAGATTAATATTGACTGGATGACTTTTCAGTTGTAACAGCAAGACTCGCTCGGAAATCAGGAAAAAAATTACTACCGATTGATGCACTTGTCTTGTAACCAATACTCCAACTACATGCAGATGTATTAAATCATCCCGACCGGAGTAATATAAAACATTGCCCTTATTGGTGTGTTGTATTCCTGTGCCTTTCCATCTTACATCACTGAGGCCACAGATGTTCATACCCAGACGCTGTGTTGATCAGTCTTCCCTCATCATAAACGCTTTGGACATTCCAAGTTGCTATCTTTATGATTGACCCGGAGATTCTCAGCACTCTCCGATCATTTAAGTCTCTATGAATTATGCTTGGAAAATGTTATGTGTCATGATGAAGTATGCTTGGAAAATGTTATGTAGTAGTTTTCCATTTGCTTTCCACATCGCAATGTAGTAGCCGAGTGCTTCGCCCACTAGTGTCTGATCAGTAGCCTATCCAGAACCCGCTCCTTCAGTCTGCTGTCAGTACTGTTGCCGTTGTTGCCCGGCCCCAGGGGAATACTTATTTAGTGGCGGCATTTACTCGCCACGTCACAAGGTCATCATTAGACTCGTGTAGCATTTTATAAAGCCGCCTGTCCCACCAGACTGCTCACTACGTCCTGTCAATCCTGCCACTTAATGGTAGTTTTTAATATGTTAGTTAAAAGGACCGGAAATGACTGTTTTTGGTCCGTTCGTCCGTTCGTTTTCTGCAAAAATCAACTTTTGCTAGAGTCGCCATCTAGTGGAGGTGCTTTTTTAGTGCTTTCGTTTTTTTTAAAACACTTCCTCATTTCAATAATTTACAAATAATTAGATACAATTGAAGCGATCAAAAATATTGGAAAATTACAAAGACTTAACCTGTAGGTTTGTGTTTGTGATGCTGATTATACTATTAACGAAACTGTGGTGGAATCGGGTTATTTTCTTAGTTACTTCGAATAAAAGCAAGTTGGCGTAAGAAATTGTAGTTTTAATATATAAAAAAAAAAAAAAACACTTGTCAGTGGGCAAAAGGTGTGATTTACAACAGAAACGAAGCATTGCATAGTAGACACACACTAATATTCCTCATAATGTACCTGAGCAGTGCTAAGTTTTGATGCGCAAAATTAATCGGCCAATCAAAAATAATCAACTAACGCGCCATCGTCGGGCGATGCAACAAAATCCACGACTCTGACCCCCGCTAAAAGTGAGTTAGACGAATATTCAATGTATGCTCCAGCGCAGGATTTTGTGTCATCAAGGATGGAGATTACTAATTATATAGTAACATATTGTACTCCTGTATCGAAAATTATATATATCGATAGAATTTGGACGTTATCGGTGCAGTAGAAATATAATAATCGGTGCAGTAGCAACGAGTTCATAGACGTCTATTTTTTATTTTCCATGTAGGTTAAAAAACACGATTGCCAAATTCGAACTAAAAATGAAAGAAACAAGTTGCATTATGGCTTGACGAAACATATAGCCAGTATCACTCGGGCTGACGTAACGATTATATTGATACCCCCATATGTTATGGTGAAATAAAAAAAAGTACTATAACATGCATTAACCCTAAACATAATACACTCCTTTATAGAGTAGTCGTTTAAAAAGAGAAAAAACATATGAATATTGTTAACGTAATATTAAAATGAATGCACTGATTTGTGCATATCTTTTAATATTACGTTACATTTTAATAATTTGTGTAATAACAATCGGAAACGATGGTACAATTATCGAAACTCTATCATATTTAAGTCAAATCAATATAAGCAGAGCATCGAATCTAGTCCTTCAAAATAGGCGGCATCATAATAACAGCTTGTAATGTTATTGAAACAGCACATGTAGTACAAAAAATATTAACAAAGAAATTATTGCTCTATATACTTAAATATTCATAAATCTCGTTAATGAATACGAACCAACGCCGTGTTATTAGAGGAGAAATGAATTTTCTGCGACAAGTTACTGTTTTTAGGTAAAATCATTATCATAATAGAAAGCTACAGCCGGCTTCATAATAATATTATTTTTGACAATGACGATAACACTAGTTACTACTTTTTTGTATAATTACTTGCAACAGTAAAAAACAGATCAAGTTATTTAATAAATTGAAACTATATAAGTTTTAATATTTCGAGATCCTCCGTGCTTTGGAATTAGAAGACACGTAAAGCCGTTTGTATAGGCTGCATCTGTAGTCGTTAATACCCATCAATTCTCACTGCGCCCACGTCCATTCTCCTTATTCGATTTAATTCGATTCTTTCCACGGCGAAAGTTTATGCCCAAACAGTTACAAAGTTAGTGATAATGATTCAAATTCAATGTCATTTATTCAGTCTAGACGTGGAGTAAAGTGGAAAGATATGCCATTGGTTCGTTAATCCACGGCGAGAGACCTTGTACTGAGAAGAACTGGCAAGAATCTCAGCAAGGGCTGCTTTTTCTATTTACTTTTTTGTATTTGATGGTGATAAATGAGTTGAACATTGAAGGAGGTAATTTCTCATAATCGACTCATGATCCACGTTCTCATTTGTTGGATCACCGATCCAAGATCCAACGATCCATCGTATGATGTGCATGCAAAAAGGAAAATCTCGTACACAGGTACAAAAACGTGAATCTCCGCGCCTATCAGGGGGCCAATTCTACTATATAAATTTTGTTTAAATCTAATCGAAAATGGATCGAAAACGTACGTATTGTATCGTATGTCATTTAGTAGAATAGAAAAACCATTAAAAACTGTAGTTTCGTTCGGTTGCGATCCATTTTCAATTCGAATTAAATAAAATGTATTTTGTAGAATTGGCCCCCTGATAGGCGCGGAAACGTCACCGATATGTATAATTTAACCCGTAATCTGTTCATAATTGAATTCAAAATTGACTGTAGAATTCTGATATAATAATATTGAAGAAAACAGTCTTAAACTCATCATAAAACTTTCAATGAAATAAAATCTTTATAACCTTTTCAAGTAGGGTTTTATTTACTGACTCTCCCCTTCTATAGCGCTGCGCTCGTCGCCGAATTCATACTGTTTATGTAACAAAATGGCACTGCTGGTCTCTTGAAGTCGTATTTTATATCACATATTTTACTTTTATAATATCTTATAATATTGGCATATCTACAATAATATCTGCCTTTCTAAATATATAGTAAGTATGTAGCGTACATATTGGTATTAGATATAAGATAGTGCTATTAGAAACTTGCTTTATAGGGATGTGATTAAGCAAAATCCTTTCAAAGATTATAAGACATTTAAAAGTTTTATGGCGCTTAAGTACTTCGTCGTAAGAGAATTATCTCTGCGAACTTCAAGCGCGAATTACTTCCTCTTTGTTTTATAAAGTTAATTATCTACACAATTTGTGAATACAGTACAGCCAACAACACGTTTGTTAATACCAAACTAAAATTTAAAGATTCCTTGAAACTACCCTGTTATTTACTACTTTTTTTGTAAAAAAAATGTGCTGCTGTATTTTTAACATGGAGAGCCAAAATCTTTGTTAAACGTTGAAACTAAAACGAACATGTTTAATTTGTTTAACTTTTGGTTACTTAACTCATAATTATTAACTGTTTTATTTTTACTTTCAGCTACTTTATTGTAGTTGCTTAATATAATTTTTAGCATCACTCCCTTTAGAGAATCGACGATAAATTGCTGATTTGGTTTTTCTTACTAAAATTGTATGTGTTGCTATGGATTGTCCTGAACTTCTGTGAAAGATCACTTTTAGAGTCCCACAAAAACAACTTGGGTTCAAACAATATTACCTCCTTCATCTTCAAACTTTCGGACCTCATTCGTTTGGCGGGCGTGTAATGGATTCAACGAACTATCGAAGTTAATAAGTGTTGAACTTTTTAACACTAGCAAACCTTTAATTAAACGTGTTGTAGGTAACTTATTATTTTTAAATAAATAGTATTATCGATTAAATTATATATGTTATTACTCTTTTATGTTTGAATTGATTATTAATATATAACATTGTCAGCAGTGTAGTTTGTATATACCAATATTATTGTAAATGTAAGCGGTATTATTTACTTTTGTACTAAATCTTTAAGTGACGACCTGTAATTGGCTGTCTGTTTTTGGATAAGACTATCAATCATTCTGTATTGTTAGATGTAAATAAAAATAAAAAGCAATATTATAGAGTATTAATGAAATAAACATTTATAATATTAACTCTTAAATTGTGAGAACTTCGAAAAACTGTAATTCAATACGGAATCTAAAAAAAAAACATTCGACTGCGCATTTCCACTCTATCGAGAGAGGTTTTGTACTGAATACATTTTGTCTTTACTTTAAGGTGATGTTCTATGTCAAGTAGTTGATAGACTTTTGTATTGCTTTGTTTTTTGTCTTTTCTCAATGGTTTTTCATGGTACAATACATTTTTGTGGATTATAAGGTTTTTCATTCTTTTGATTCTCCAACGAAATCATACACTCCATTTATCACAAAGGATATTTGTTTCTTTAACAAATATCTTCTAATGAAACGTTTCAAAAAAACTTTTTTATAAATCTTTTTCTCAAACTGTTTAATATTATAATTTTATATAAATTGTTCTCAATGAAATACTAATTAAAAAAATATATTAAATATCATTTATATCGCACAGATCCGAAATTAAGTAGTTAGCAAAAGTCACTAATAGAATTCTGAAATAACATCCAGACTCAACACAATATATACATATCAATTGTCTTCATTGTCGGACATCGGACCGAAACCGGTAACTCAGATAGGGCAACCGATACTTTGAAATCATATCCGTTACCCATGAGCCATTTGGCTATGGTGATCGTATTCTATACTTATAATTATATTTAGTTAGATTTGATTGTTTGTTTGAATTAAATAAGCTCCGAATATACTGCAACCGATATTAATAAAATCTTTCACACTTCATTCTTCTCTATAGAGAACATTAGTTATAACTAATGTCCATGCGGTTGCCTGGAAGAGCAGATCGCTATTGCTTTTAAGGCCGCCATTTGCTTAGCTAGCTTTGTATGTTTTTTTTTGTTATATAATAAATTTTATTATTATTCACCAACAGGAACCTACACCATATCCGGACAATATCTAAACTACTATTATATAGAGATACAATTAATAACTGTGTTTGCTTGTAGGAAGTAGTATTCTGAAATACTGATCCAATCACGAAAATTCTTTCATCTACAGGAAGCTACGTCATATGCATCATAGTGATAGTATTATCCTATTAATATTATAAACGTGAAAGTTTCTTTGTTTGAATGTTTGTCCGTCAATCACGCTGAAATTACTTAACGGATTTGGATGAAATTTGGTACACAGATAGGGTATTAGCTGTCTTTGATAATACGATACTTTTTATCCCACTTAATAATTCCCTAGGGACCACACGGCCGAAGCCGCGGGCGAAAGCTAATAAGTAATAAATTACGCAGGCGAAGTCACGGAAAAACAACTATTTATAAATAAACTAGGTTACCGCCAGTAGATCCTGTATTATACATATGTATAAATCTTCCTCTTAAACTACTCTCAATATTGATTAAATCACATTAAAATCCGTTGTATTTTTTTAAAGATCTCAGCATACAGACTGCGGGATGTGACTTTGTTTTATACAATTTACCTATAAGATTAATTAATGCAATTACATATTAAAGGCAATATTGACTAAATTCATAGGATGCTTCAGTATATATAGCATAGTATTTTACAAAAGATAAAAGATGTAATTTGAAATGCAAATACTTTTTCCCCTAGTAAAGAAAGCTGAACTTTGCGAAACAGGTTTCAAGTTTCTTAATCGAAATTATATTACTTTATATATAATTTGTATAAAATCGAAATAGTCATTAGTTGCTGTTTTCATTAGATAATTAGTTATAAACCAGATAATAGAGCAACAAGTAAATTTCGATCCAAATTATATATTCAAAGTTCATTTGATATGGGTAGGTTATCTTATAAGATATTTTAATGTATACAAAACATTTATGTAACAATCAAAACTAACTTTCTAGAGCAAAACAAGTACTACAATACTATATGTTATTTTCATGTTTAAAAATAGCGTTACGGAATATAAAGGTCATTAAGGACCAGTTATACAACTTCAAGTTAAATAATAGTTAACAAGTGTTTTAGATAATTTCTTGGAAATACTGTTCCATTGTTAACCAGAAGTTATTATGTATCCGTACTCTGTAATACTGAGTCCTATGGAATTTATAACAAAGTCTCACACTTAAATGTTGATCAAATTAAAATTATGCCAATAAATAAAGCATTTTTCATTAAGAATATTATAGTAATGGTCGCAATATTTGTTTATTGTGCTTTAAATAAGTTTTACTTTTCGCATGCACATTTTTAAAATAAACCTATTTTAGTATAGAACAATAAAATAATAAAATATACAATATTTAAGATAAAAAAGTAGTGCTCTGTACTTTAAAAAAATATTTAAATAGAAATATATAGATAATATTTTTGAATATTTGATAACAACAGACTGTCAGTTACTCGATTCGATATCAATGTCGTGCTTTGGATAATGAGCGAGACTCATACATTCACGTGCACGTTTAATTGGTCTCAAAGAGCAATTATGTATAGACGTTGAAACAGCTGATTATTTAAAATAAAAAAATGCCACCTAAAGATCCCGAATGGGAAATTGAAGCTCTAAAAAGGATAGATGAGAAAAAAACTCATGTCAGTTTCCCAAAGTTAAAATACCCGTCTTTACGGGATGGTTCTTTGAGAGATCCTATACAGTGGCTTAAAGGAAAAGCTATGGATGATGGAGCAGAAGGCATTTGGCGTATTCATGATAAGTTATATGATTTTACAAGTTTTATGAAGCGACATCCTGGAGGGGAAGAATGGTTGGAGTTGACGCAGGTAAACTATTTTATAACTGAATAAATTACACATTGTTGTTATACGATGTATTTGTTTAGAATATTTTTTACGTCTATAGTTCTATACTGAGGTTTTAAGATGTTGAATATTATCCTATAAGGAAGATAAAAATGTATAAGAAAAATTCTTATACATGTTTATCGTTAAAGTTTTTTTGTGACGACACATGACTTTTGGAAGTAATAATAATATATAGGTTTCTTTTATGAACAATTACTTCTAGTAGTATTTTATAGACATTTACTGATAATTGATTATAATTATACTATTTGTTTATTATTATTTATTAAATAAATAATCGAATAATTCAAATAAGTAGATCTAAGATTATTTCTTATTTCTTAAAACTCTGTATGAGTATTATCAAGAAAGGAAGAAAGGAAAATATAGAAAACAATAATACAATATAAAAAACAAACACAATGTTTTTCTTCTTTACTAGTACCTACTTGTCAGTATTTTCTTTTTAGGGTTAAAATGTGATTAATATTAAAAGAATAAGAGTTATTTTTTAAATATCCATCAAAATAAAAAGATGTTATTATCAAGACTTATGTGATTATAGCTAAGTCCACTACATTATAATTAATACGATGACAATAAATAGTAGTTTTCTTTTTCTTACTTTCTATCACCAAGTGACCAATGAAATCAGCGATCAAAATGTTGAAGTAATATTGAGTGGATTTTTTTGTGCGTGTTAATAAAATTTTTAAGAATGTACATTGTTAGTTTTCTTCTTGGTTGCCTATTTAATACTATTTTTCATAATAGGCAGCAAAATTCAATTCAGCCTTCTCGTTCATGTATATTTGATTTACTTTTCCCAGACTTTCAACTCCGACTGCGTATTATGTTAATTCGTTTTGTTTTGCTTCGTTCTTATTTATTTTTCAGGGCACTGACATAACAGAAGCTTTCGAGGCCCATCACATAAATCCAACAACACAAAAACTCTTAGACAAATTCTACGTCAGAGACGCAAACACACCAAGGAACTCCCCTTTCACGTTTAAGGAGGATGGTTTTTATAGAACTCTGAAAAAAGCGGTGTACAAAGAATTGGAGAGAATACCCAAAGATGTCTCTAAAGCCGCGGATAGGATAACAGATGGGCTATTTGTATCTCTTTTATGTAGCTCCGCAATGGCAGTGTGGGTGAAAAATTACTATGCGGCCACCGCTTGGTACATTTTTGCATCTGTAAATCTAGCATTTTTGACGGTGGCATGTCATAACTATATTCATAGGCGTACGAATTGGAGGATGTATTTATTTAATATGAGCATGTGGTCATACAGGTGAGTATATTTTTTATATAATTCTATAACCCAACAATTATCGAATATTTATCTATGATCTACACAGTTTCTTACAGTGAGGTCTTCACAAGGAAACTCTTGGGTTACAAGTAATTTATACGTTGAGAAACCCTTTACTAATATTGTGTTAGACTTTCATTAGATTAACACGAATACCTATATAAGCAAACTAAGATAAAAGTACATGTTAAGTACGACATACATCAAAGATCAAACAAATACCTTGACTATATATTTCAATTATCATGACATAAAGCTATATTAGGAGTATAGCTTTCATTTCTAAAAAGTAATAATGCCTTCAAGTATACCTATATTCTAAACAATCTTATGGGTTAAATTGTACTTTTCTAGAAATAAACAATAAATTATAACTATCCAGTCCGGATTAGCCACTTAGTAAAAGTAGCAAATGCCACGGGCCCCGTGTTTTAGGCAGCTCCGCGCAATTGGGAGCCTTGCTAAGGTCTGACTAATAAATTATTTTTTGCCGACAGTCTTAAAAACGAAAGAAATAAACCATTGTACTCATATTTTTAAGTGAAAACATTAACTGAGAAATAAATACATACTCAAGTCACAGATTATTTATGTTGTGTTATTCGGAAAGCAAAGGACTACTTTCCGTTTGGTTTGCAAAGTTGCTGATTCCGATTATTCTTCATTGTCATCACGAAAGATGTATTTGGTGATTGACCCACAATTTTTTGCAAAGCCATAACGTACCATTATTTTCTCAAAAACGTGAAAGCCCGTGTTGATACTCACATTATAAGTCAAACTGAGTCTGAACAGTTGTATTGGCGGTTACTTTTATAATGAAAAATATATAAAAATATTAAGAAAAGTGAGTTTTTTTTTTATTTCGTTTTATCTCAATTAGACACGTAATGTCGAGTAAACCAAGGGCCCCAACAAAAATTTGCTACAGGCCCTGCTTTGACTTAATCTGGCGCTGATAATTTCTCAGTTTATAGAATCAGTATGAAGTATTCTATTTCAGATATTTTGTCAAGAAGTTGCGTAAGCATCAAATTCATTGTAAACAAAACTAAATCGGTATAAACAGCAAATATTTGAATACACTTTGTTTTACAAAACTTTCACGAAAAATATGAAGAAATACTTGCAGGCACAAGGTTTTACGCCGTAAATTTCCGAACCGATGGCATAACTTTCGATGTTTTAAGAATTTCTAGTAACAACATAGACTGAATAAAAAATATTGAATTTGAAATGTGCGGACTCACATAACTAGCCTACTAGGTTGTATCGTTGATTTAAAACGCCTTTAACGTTGAGTGAGAGTACCTGGGGCTGGTGGAATTTAAAATGTGTAATAGTAAATTTTCCAATATTGACCTGTTTTGTAATACCTCAACTAGGAGGTATTAAATCTAAAATCTTTAATACGTTCCAATGATCAACTTTTAATCTTAGTTACCCTCACTTCACATAACCTAATCATAATTTTGTAAAACTATAAATTTACAAGCTGTTATTTACTTTTTTAACTCATGTTGTTCTTTTTGTATTAAGTAATAATGGGTACGCGTTGTCTACAATGAAATGAAATGTTGTTTAATGACTGTTTGTGCCAAAATAAAGAGAAAAAAATCATTTTTCATAAAATGGACAGCTCAGTGGTCAGAGTAGTCGCCTGGATTGCGAGAGGTTATGATTAAGAATCCCATCTCAGAGTGTCAGGGACAAAGTGGAGTTTTTGACCTTTTTAATTATTTTTCAGCATAGCATTGCGATTGCAAAATTGACCAAATATAATAATTTACATACTCTTTCAACACGTGATGCTAAATATAAGTTAAACAATTAATACACATACACAGTAACATATACACAAACATACACATACACTATCACATTTATTTATTTAGCTCCATTATTTTTGTTTTCATTTTCTCGTCTTGTAATGGTACATAATTTATATCAAATGGACTGTTATGTTCTCATAAGATGGTAGAGGAAACAGGTGTTTGAATGTTTTGTATACCTACCTCAGACGTCAGAGTGATCATTGAATGTTTCCTTGTATCTTTGTGAATTAAAGAATTTATCATTATTAATAAAAATTGTTACGTTTATGATCTCTGTTACAGAGATTTCCGTGTATCTCACGTGATGTCACACCATCTTTACACGAATACTTTAATGGATTTGGAGATCAGTTCACTGGAGCCGGTTTTGTTCTACAATCCAAGGAAAGATAAGCCGGTACACGCACGACTGGGTTTCATAACTGAATTGTTCTTCTTTCCGTTCGTTTTTCTTCTGAATTTTATGAAAAGGTAAGATTTGTTATCCTATGTGCAAACTAGGCTTTTAAAACCGAGTTGGTAGGGAAACATTTAATCAGCCATGTCGACAAAACGGTGAATTAAATTAGAATAATATATAAAATATTCTCATATACGCTAAATAATCGTCAATTAGAAATTAAGATTATGAATCAGTTACAGAAATATATATTGCGTTATAATGTAGTGTGTGTATGTGTGTGTTCAATATGATGTGCTAAAAGAATTTTACGCTTGAGTAATATTTATTTAGTAAGCACAGACATCTGATATAAGGGTCTCATTATTTTTATTTATTTATTCCAGATTCATATCAGTGTTCATCAGAAAAGGTTTCTTTAAGCGACATTACCGATGGCATGATATGATAGGATTTCTCCTGCCATTTATTATGTGGGTGGCAAGTGGTGCGCCAATTCTTCACGTTCTATATTATTGGCTTTGGATCAACTGTACGGGAAGTTTAATATTTTATTGTATAGGCGTGAATGCGGCACATCATCACCCTGAAGCTATTAAAGATGGAGATAAACCAAGGTACTTATTAATTACATATATACCTACATTTCTGGTAGCGGCTTCGACAGCGTAGTCCTGTATTATACATATGTATAAACGTTCGTCCCGAATCACTCTGTATATTGATGAAATTCAGATTAAAATCCGTTTTGTAGTTTAGAAGATATCAGCGTACAGATAGCGGGAAGCGACTTAGTTTTATTAGTATTAATTGAATTTGAATTGGTAGCTAATTGTTTTATCGGAAATTAGAAATAACAGGTTTGTTCATCAACTATTACATATAGTCTATATAAATATAAATATTCGTATTTACAAAATATATTTACATACTATATCTGTGCATTTTATATAGATCAAAGTAACTAAGTATGGAATATATCCCTAATATGACATCTTTAATTATTTCCAATAGGAAAAAATTGTAAGCTTTCAATAAGTCCAGGAAATTTGCGATCTGTTTACGGATTTGCTTGGCTTATTTCGAAGCATATTCAATTTAAATTTAATAATAATTTAGAACGCAATTTGAGTATTCTATTTAAGGTATACTATTCCTTAAATATAGTTACTTCCCTGTACTGATGTAATTATTTTTTTTTGTCTACAATCAGTTTAATATTACTTATTTGTTTATACTTTGAGGTATCACAAAATTTCAATCTAATTTCCCATTGTTGGTATGCAGGAGCGAAACACCAGATTGGGGCGAACACCAAGTGGAAGCTCTCTTAGACCGCAAAGATGTGAACAGCAACCTGTTTGCCGTGGTCGTGTTATTCGGGGATCATGCCCTACACCATATGTTCCCAACACTTGATCATGCAGTGTTGAAATATTTACACCCCATCTTCATCGAACATTGCGAGAAATTTAAAGCGAATTACAGAGTGTCGACGCAGTTTCTAATGGTTTTGGGACAGATAAAGGAATGTATGCGTACAGAATTTAGAATAATTTGAGAATGGCATTGTTATTCAATCGTAATTTTTGTTAAAAAGAGTTTTTAATACTTCCAATAATCCAATATTTTCTCCAAAACTAGGTGTAATGTTTGATCAACTCTGTATGGATTGAGTTTTAGTGTAAAGCACTATATAATAAATTTTGAAAATTTAATATTTATTTAATTACCGTCTGGTCGTAAATATTTGTGTGATAGTAAGTTAGTCAACCTTGACGGAAACTTATTTTTATAAGGATTTTGTCAAAAATGACCAAAAATTTGTGGTTTAAGTAAATGTCGAAGAATTGCGCCTAAACTCCTGAATTAACGGTATGCCTGATAGGTACAATTATAAGATATTGTTGAGAAAATTATTAGATTATTGACGGATAATTATTTGTACTTAAAATAAAACATATCATAACACATTTTTTTACAGAAACCAAAAACAAAATCAGAAACAAACGTTGCTTTGAAAGTTTGCTCACATGTGTTTTTGAAACTCTTATCAAATACTAGCTGTCCTCGCGACTTAGTCCACATGGAATAGTGACTTTCAACAGTACCTTTTTATTTTTAGGGTTCCCTACCGAAATTTCACTGTCTATTTATCTGTGACCAGGCTGTATCTCATGTACCACGAAAATTAGACAGTTGAATTATTCATTGTTTTTTATTTCTGTTGCCGCTTCTAAAACAATAGAATAAAATTAATATTCAAGGGGGCTCCCATACAACAAACGTGATCTTAGGTTCATTTTCGGTACGAAATAATAGTCAGTTCTAATAAATATCAAATAAAATTAAATTTCAAAAATTAATAAAATTTCAAATATCAATAACACATATAATATGAAAGATACTATGTTTCATAAAAATCGGAAAAAATAACGTCTACAAACATAACAAAAAACGAAATCCCGTTTTAAAAGTACAGTAGCGTCATCAAGTGCTACTGAGCACTTGATGACGCTACTGTACTGGTTTGAATTAGGTTTTCATAACATTATTTAATCCTGTGTAAACTGCTTAAATCATTTAATAATAGATTTGGAAAAGGATGACATGGAATATAATTAAAATGACAAATTGAACTGTATTAATATGGTAACAGTGGTTACTATGGTAACGCTTTAATACCCTATTCGAACTTCCACTCCCATTTTCATCCCTTTATGTGCTTTTTTCGTTGTATAAGATAGACATATGCTGCGGCGGACATTTTTTTAGAACTTTCAGCATGGTGTGTTTTTTCTTTTCTCAAAAACATCGTAGTAAAATCCAAACTAATCATTTAATTGATTTGATGTAAAAGACAATTTTTATTTGCATTAAATTTTTTTGACAATAAGCATGTTTATTTTGATAAGGAGTCAATATAACCTATTCATATAAACTTCTAAAGATGGACAAAAAATAATTCACTCTTACGAATTTTTTTTTAACTTAGCACATAGATACACACCGTGCCACATGAATAGGACCAGTGCATTTTCCATTGCTCTTTAAAATATAAATCAAAATAAATATCTAGAAATAAAAAGTATTTAAATCTTAAGACATGCCACGTTTAACTATGTTTATAGTATTGAACATCAAAAACACTCAACGAGGCGCTCGCAACAATTCCTATAGTCAATGTGTCGCGCCACTTGAATATGACCATTAAATAAAACATAATATATATTACTATTAAATTTTATTATTAACAATCAATGCCTTTCCCATTCTTTTGAATAAAATATAAAATACGGGATGGTATTGAGTCGTATAGTTTTCTTATAAATGTAATTGGTAATTTGCTCCAACACTTAATTATACCTTCCTTGAGCTCGTGCTTGGTGTCATACTGTTTACTGTTCTTATAAACTTCACGTGACAGCCATCCTCACACATTTTCAATAATGTTCAGGGCGGGGGAGAGTGATGACCAATCGAGAATATTTATATTATTTAGTAGAAACCACTCGCGAACGTTACGTGCACTATGAATACTAGCATTATCATGTTGAAAATAAAACCTTCATTCCCTATTGCACTGCTAAGTTTACATTTCTCATTCTGCAGAAGTTTGATGTAACTTCTAGAGCGTTGTCTACCTTCTATTACCACTAAACTAATCGGTCCACTATATGTCATGTGTTAAGATTTAAATGCCTTTTATTTCTAGATATTTATTTTGATTCATACTTTAAAGAGCAAAGGAAAATGCACTGGTCCTATTCATGTGGCACGGTGTGTATATGCCATAGCGGACTTTTCTATAGATAATTTGTAGCTCTCCAACTTTTTTTTAGAAAGCATTATAAATCATACCATTTAGGCAGCGTTCACAAAAAAAATGTGCCTTTGGAAGTACTTCTATCCCTACGAACCTTTTAGCGGGATAAAAAGTAAGCTGTATATCCAAACCAAGAATTAGCTAAATGCCAAATTTTATATAAACCTGTTCAGTGATTTTTGCGTGAAGAAGTTATAAACATCCAAAATCCTACAAACTATCGCCTTTATAATATTAAGTAGGTCGGACATTGATAATGATAGTGGTATCATTAAAATAATAATGGGAAACTTTGTTTTATCATAATTTTTATACGTGTAGAACATACGTATATACGAGTACTAACTAAAGAGTGTAAAAACTGTCATTTTAATATTACTGAATGGATATTATCTGTGTGAGCAATTGTTATAATACTATTGTGTCAAGCGTGCCAACGAAATGAAATATTGTTAGATAAATTGGTGCAGGCACCACACTTGAAATATTTGTTTACATATCACCCGTCGCTTGTTTATTTTATATTGTAATTACCAAGTATCTCCATATTTCAAATCAATCAACATTATCAGCCCATAACTGTCTTCACTGGTTTTTCATTTTTGTTTGCATACAAATCCCATATTTCATGCATCGAGAGAGAGATATATATACAGTCATCATCATCAACAGTCTATTAATATGCCCATTGCTGGAACATCCCCGTGGATTGAATCGAACGGGGAGGGTGAGCCATTACCCACTAGCCCAGCTAATTGGTGGATATTAACGACCACAGATGCAGCAGGAAATAAAGGCTTAACGTGATTTCTGAAGCACGGAGGAGTTCGAAATAATATTGTTTGGTCGCCTATCTTACTACCGGCTTTTGCGACGTAACAACCGCATCGCAGACCTAATGCGTTAACCACTGTGCCATAGAGCTTCTCCATATATACAGCGTCGGCACGGAAATGGGACAATTGGATAAAAGTTTCTCTAGTTCATTCGGTGAGAGATATTTGCATCTAGCTATATACCAATTCATTGACCGGCCTTTGGCTGTTTACTTAACCTCAATAATTGTGTTCTTTTTTTATTAAAAAAAGATCACTTGCCATTTATGCCCGTAGTACAAATGGAAATTTGAATAAACCTCGACCCCCCCGCAGGCTACATAAAAACTCAGAGGCCATCGAACGAGGGCCGGGCTTAATTTAAAACCCCTGTCGAAAGCATACCAATTGATGGGCCCATTAATTTACAAATCACATTTTGGGCTGTGTTTTAGGGATAAATGTTAAAATCTTTAAATGGTGCTTTGTGTCACGGTAAAAACCATTTGACATTATTATAATTTGAATAAACTAATTCTATTGTTATCCAATTAAAATCAAATCAAAATCATTTATCAAAAACTTTTTGCCATCAGTTCGTAAATCTACGGCGGGAGATATTGCACCAAGAAGAACCGGCAACAAACTCGGCAAGGGTTTCTTTTTTATCCCTGTTAACTGACAATCTTCATTAAACTATGAAGTCAATTTCCATTACAATATTAGAAAATATAAAAAAGTAAACCGGTACATATTTATATGGGTACTCGTCAATTGAATGACATAACAAGTCAAACAAGTTGATCGATAAATAATTTTATATAGGTAATTATGTATAATAAAATAAAATGGAAAAAATATATACTCTAAAGCAGACTCATCTCCAATAGCAATACCCGTACACGTATGACGAAGTAGTGTATACCTTGTTTGACCCATAAATGTTGATAGAACTTTCTTTTCACGGCAAAACAAGTTTATTGTTTCTAGTACTGCTCTTTTTTGTAAAATGAATACATAATCTATATCTGCAGCCATGTCTTACAGCAGAATACCATATACCGTATAAACTAGCACTTAAAGGTATAAAAATTGGAATTGTAGATTTTATGGGGAATCAAAATGTACCATAGCAACCATTGTTTACAATCTGATTTGTCATTATTTAATAATATTATTTATAAAAATGTTATAAAATAATCGCGTTATTATTTTGATCAAAGCTCTTTGCTCAGGATTTAAATCACGAACATTAAAATGTTGTTTCAAGTTTAATTAAAGAAATTGCAATTATTTGTGTTTTTCGTTTCATCAGTAATTAATTTATTGAGGATACGTATTCTAGCAATAATCTTAAGGCAATTATTATTGCCTTAAGATTTTCAAGTTCATAATTTTCACAAATCCTATTTTATTACATTTGTTCATATTTGTTCATATATATATATTATGTAAGCACCTTAGTACCTATAGGTTTTCATGTACATATGTCGTGGCCAGTTTGTAGAGTTGACCAATTCATGATGCGGCCACTCATTTCTCGAAATGTTTGCATTTCATAAAATGGAAAAATCTTGCTGCTCACACCATAATGTGAACTGGCCAGATCAATGAATAATTTGCTTTTAAAGATATGGGCGGCCGATAGTATGACTTCTTCATAATGTGGCCAAGAATAAGTGATCATATCGTGAAATAGTTACATAAGTCTCAGTAAGAGGCGTTGATGTCGCATTATTTTTATGATACATTATTTATTTTAATTTTTAAGTTATACGACAAATTAAAGATAGTAGGATGACTCAGCAACGGAAAACAGTTACTTGATTAAGTTTAGTGATATAAATGTAAGAGTGCAGTGGAAAGTTGTAGCAGCAAAGGATAGAACAACAGCGTTTTTGGAAAATATAAAAGTAAAGTACTGCCCAAAGTAACTATACCACGCGGAGGAAGTCGCGAGTAAAAGCTAGTTTTTTTTTTATATTTAAGCAAAATCGCTTCGTCTGCGTGGGAAGTATTTTGGTAGATTTTTTTTTTATGACTGGAGTCGAATCGAATTGGATCAATGGGCCATAACCCACTATGCGGGCTATAACGGCTTAACGTGCATTGTGCCAGTGTTGTGCACAGTGCTCAAGATAATAATGTTTTATTCACCCATCCTGTGAACAGTCCTTATGAATGTTATTTTTCTATATTTTTTCTCGTTTCTCGCGCTCTGGTTGTCGCTTGTCTCTAAGCATTTTATTCGTACCTTTAAACTATCCTTCTTTTGTTTTTGATCTTTTTAAATTATTATTATTTGTCTAGTTGTATGCACAATCGGCTATTTATTGTTCTATTTTCCATGTAATGCTAGGTTGTCTGGAAGAAATCGCTGGCGATGAGTTTGTCGTTTGTACTTAGTTATATAAAATAACTATTCGTGTATGTCCAGTGCATTTACTTACTTATTTAACTGCAATTTAAACCGAATGCAATAACCCACTACGCCATTGGACCTCTTATACCTACTCGTAAGTTATACTAATATTATGAAGAGGAAAGATTTGGTTGTTTGTTTGTTTGCATTGAATTTGCTTCAAAATTACTGGACCGATAGTTTCAGAGCGATTCCCACCTACGGGAAGCTATATCAGACGCGGATGTCATAGGCTATAATTTTGCGGCAAAGTCGCGGGAAAACAGCTAGTTCATTATACCATGTGAAAACTTATCTGCGGTACGCCTGTGGGGTATGAAGGCAACATGGGTTGGCGATAGTCGAAACTATTTTCTCGATCTCTATTATGCAATCTGCGAACTCTTTCAGAGATTAAGCGCATTTCTCTATCAAAGGAAGTTTCATACTCATACCATACTGTATGTATGTTACGATCAGCAGTTAGACGTGCTATGCGATCTTCAGAAGTTTCCTGAGATCAAACGCTTGTTGTATGAGTTCTCCGAGAGCTCAAGAGATTGTCCCTGACGGTAAATACTTCAGATTCAACTTTATAGTGCATGAGCCTCGCGATGGGCAGTTAAATACGCTTCGCGTTTTTCAGGCGTCTCCCAAGACCGATCTCTTTCCTTGTCAATAAAGATCGGTCGGTACTTGTCTGACGGAAGATACGTGGAGTTTTATTTATTGACATAAAAAAATATATGCATATTTTAATTTCGACTTTCCACACTTGAGATAATATTTTTTTTGGTCACATATCCTGTGATCGACCTTTGCAAAAGTTGCTTAACAACTACAATCGCGAGCCATGGCGCTTATTCACTACGCCACCGAGCTACTCTGAACCGACCCTCAGGTTCGCGTAACATTTTATGAACGTTGTGACCAATAAATAAACCATTGTTTCATGGGAGATGAAACCCGGCAAGCTATCTCAAGACACTCAAGTATTGGACCATTGATCCCCTTGCAGATGGAAAACTGGAGAGGCTCGGGCAAATCGAATGCATCTCCCGGACAGACGCAACCGTGCAATGCGGGGGCGGCTGCCAACCACCTACGCTGGCCCCGAGGACGACATGCACCTAATCTGATAAAAATATCTATAACAGTTTTTTTTCAAATATCTTCAATGTACAGACATCGATCGGTTACGTTTTTATTATAGTATAGATAGATGTGCTAATTAAGCTCGTTCATTTGATACCCTACACGGAATAATTGAATAATATATTTTTTAGTTTCTCACTTTATACTCTCGAGAAAGCGCTGTTGACAATTCAATGTCACATAGCGTATAGCCTACGGATATCTAAGACACTTCTAAAGATACCTCATTTGTCCAGTTACGACGAGTAGTTTCGATATTATAAGGGAACTGATGAACATTATTATATCAGCTAAAATCATAACCCTCCTTTTCGCTTCGCATCCGTAGTCTGGTAAAAAATATCCTTATAATAATTCTTTTGCTTGAAAATGGCTTTGCTAATGAAAATAAAAGAACAGTGTTATTATTATTACAGGCCATAATTAATAAAAAAGTCAGGATTTTTTATAACCCTTGAACATAGGTAAATTATAAATAATTCAAAAGAAATGCATATTTAATATTTAGAGGCATTCTCTAAGCTAGTTTAGAGGGAAAATATAATTTGTTATTATATTTGATCAATTTAGTATTAATAATGCTATTCTGAAAAATATTCTCAATGAAAAATGCTTAAAAAATCCACTTCGTCCCACCTCAGAGTGATGTTTTAAAGCATATTTTATTAAGAATGTGTAATTTGTTTTTAGATAAGCGTAACTGACAAGGTGTAATAAGCTACTAACTTGCACAGTTGGTCAGAATTTGAAGATATGTATTTATCATAAATGTTGATATAACCGTTTATCAAATCTTATATTTGACCTTTTGTTAAGGATAAATATTATTTTATATAAAACTATAAGCATATAAATGGATTATTTAAATGAAATACCTAATATTTGTGTTATGAAACATTTTTAAACTTTAGGTTATGCACCGAATGCCCATCATTTAATCATCCAAAAGTCTAAATTGCCTTTCAATTGTCCTTTTGATTTGTCCAACAAAAAGGTCAAATTGTGACGTAACCCTGAAGTTTGCTCTGAATTTTTCACAGTGTTCTAAAAATACAGGATACAAATATGGCAACACGGCATGATCGAGAGTTGGGAAAAGATGATGAAGAGCATGGTCACCAAAGAAGGTCATTACTTTAAATAGGCTCCCGTTGATATCATTACGATCCATCACAGCTTCAAGCTGCTGCATTCCCCAGTCAGGAGTAATTGTCCTGGAAAATGTAACACAATAGTGAAGCAGGAAAACATATCAATAGAAGAGTAAAATCATTTTGTAATTCTAAACATTAAAAAACTTAATAATACTATGATAAAACTAAAATACAGACATTAAATGACATATTTTCTCATTCATAGTTGAGACATTTAAATAAAGGAATGTGTTTTAAATATACAACTCTACCTGACTTCGTCACCATCTTTGAATATTCGTGGATGGTGATGTGCTGCAGTGGTGCCGATCACCATGAAGATAAAACTGCTAGTGCAATTGATCCATAACCAATTGATAATAGCGTCACTGAAAGAACATCCGCTGACGACCCACATCCAAATGGGAAGTAAAAGTCCGATTCCATCATGCCAACGATAATGGTTTTTGAAGAAATCTTCTCGTACAAAGTTGAGAAGAAATCTGAAATGATTTTTTTACAATCTTAAAGGCATTTTAAACGATCAATAATGAAAATTAAATATTAATCAAAGAAATAAAATAACTGTATCTTTTCAATGTCGTACCTTTTCACAAAATTAATTATAAAGCTAAAGGGATATAACAAACATTGAAACAGAAAAGTGAAGTATGTGAAAAATGGCTTGTCTGGTCGTGGATTCCATTGTATTATTGGCTCAAATGCACTTATCTCTAAATCCATTAGAGTGTTTGGATATAAGTGATGTGAGAGAGCATGAGACACCCTGAAGTCTCTGAAAATAAAAATAAAAAAATTGTATGTAAATATTTTGCTGCCATTCAAAATAAGAATATTCATAATGACCGAAGCTTCAGTTTGAGATAATGTATGTAAAATAAAATGAAACATGTTACCTGTATGACCATAGGCACATACTAAAAATATACATTCTCCAATTGGTTTTCCTGTGTATATAATTATGCGAAGCAACAATAGTCCATGCTAATGTTAAAGAAGAGATTAGGTAAGATAACATCACAATCCAATAATTTTTAGCCCAACAGGTTAATGCAGCTGTCGCCAAACATGTAGTAAATAATCCATCAATGATTCTGTCTGTATGATTAGGAATATTTTTTGGCACTTTTTTCAATTCTTCTCTCACTGCTCTTTTAAGTGTGCGGTAGAATCCATCTTCATTGAACGTGTACGGGGAGTTTCTTGGTGTATTCGTATTTTTTACAAAATATTTATCTAACATCTTTTCTACCACAGGGTTAAGATGATGAGCTTCAAACGCTTCTGTTATGTCTGTTCCCTGTAATTAAAAATATATATTAAATATATATATATATATATATATATATATAAAGACACACAATATTCTAATATATAATGTTAAATATATTATTACGTTATGTTATTTAGTCATATCTAAAGATATTCTAAATTTATTATTTATGTATTCATTGACTCTATCTGCTATGTACCATTTGTTTTGATTAATGTAAGTATGATTGATGAACATGCCTTGTCTCAGAGTTTGAACCATTGTAGATAAGATGTTTCTATATTAAACATTTCTGAAGAGTATTGTTAAACTTTGTCTCTAATTTCAAATTACCCAGTTCAACATTGACAACAAATGTGAAACATGTGTAATAAGTATGATAAAAACATTTTATCCAATGATTGATTACCTTTGTGAGTTCTAGCCATTCCGCACCACCGGGATGGTTATCGACGAAAGTAGTAAAATCATAAATGGAATTATGAATTCTCCATAAGCCTTCTGCTCCATCATCCAAGGCTTTTCCAGTCAGCCACTGCACTGGATCTCTAAATCCCTTATCTCTGAGTGAGGGGTATTTTAGCTGAGGAAAACTAACATGAGTTTTCTTTTCGTAGGCTCTCTTCTGAGCTTCTTCTAAATATTCTAAATTTTTTGGCGCCATTTCAATTGTAACTTTCTATTGTCATTTGTAACTAACACGTTTAAACGTCTTACCAATCGAAACCTAATTCGATAACTGTTTTGTAAGCGGTTTTCAACTACGCAATTCGTTTATCTTTATTTACTAAAGCTTTATATATAGTAGAGATATTAAGTGCTATGTTTGATACTTTGTTGTCAGATGATATAAGTTTGATGATATAGTCATGTTAAAAAAAATATGTTGCTACGAAGCTCATATATGTTTTAAATGCAAGTCATGTTTATAAAAAAATTGTTATTTATGATACAGCAATATTGTTCCTAGCTGTGCCCGCGACTTCGTCTGCGTGGGAAGTATTTTGGTAGAATTCTTTTTTTCCTATGAATGGGGTCGAATCGAATATGATCAATGGGCCATAACCCACTATCCGGGCTTCATGCGGATTGGTGGGTGTTAACGTTGCATGATGCAGCCAGGAATAAAGGCTTAACGTGCATTGTGCTAGTGTTGTGCACAGTGCTCAACTCAAAATAATAATGTTTTGATCACCCATCCTGTGAACGGTCTTTACGAATATTATTTTTCTATTTTTTTTCTCGTTTCTCGCGCTCTGGTTGTCGCTTGTGTCTGAGCATTTTATTCGTACCTTTAAACTGTCCTTCTTTTGCTTTTGATCTTTTTAAATTATTATTATTCGTCTGCTTGTGTGCACAATCGGCTATTTATTGTTCTATTTTCCATGTAATGCTAGGTTGCTGGAAGAAATCGCACTCATCGCTAGAGTTTGTCGTTTGTACTTAGTCATGTAAAATAAGTATTCATGTAAGTCCTTGTTGTGCAGTATTTACTTACTTATTCAACTGCAATTTAAACCGAATGCGCTTACCCACTACGCTATTGGACCTCTTATACCTAACCTATACTAATATTATAAAGAGGTAAGATTTGTTTGTTTGTCTGTTTGTATCGAATTTGCTCCGAAACTACTGAACCGATAGTTTCAAAGCGATTCCGACCTACGGGAAGCTTCATTAGACGCGGATGTCATAAGCTATAATTTTGCAGCAAAGTCGCGGGAAAACAGCTAGTTCATTATACGCTGTGAAAACTTATCTGCAGTACGCCTGTGGAGTATGAAGGCAACACGGGTTGGCGATAATAGAAACTACTTTCTCCATCTCTATTGTGCAAACTGCGAGCTCATTCAGAGACTAAGCGCATTTCTCTATCAAAGGAAGTTTCATACTCATACCATACTGCATGTATGTTACGATCAGCAGTTAGACGCGCTATGCGATCTTCAGAAGTTTCCTGTGATCAAACGTTTGTTGTATGAGTTCTCCGAGAGCTCAAAAGATTGGTAAAAGCTTACGGTAAATACTTCAGATTCAACTTTATAGTGCATGAGCCTCGCGATGGGCAGTTAAATACGCTTCGCGTTTTTCAGGTGTCTCCCCGAGACCGAGCGCTTTCCGTCCGATCTCTTTAATTGTCAATAATAATTGGTCGGTACATGTCTGACGGAAGATACGTGGAGTTTTATTTATTGATATAAAAAAAATATATACATATTTTAATTTCGACTTTCCACACTCGAAGAAAATTGTCTACTAACACATACTTCCGAGAGGTGCTTAACTGAGCTGCCGTCAGATTTGAACGGCCCTAATCATCATCATCATCAGCATTTTTACGTCACCAACTGCAGGAGCTCAGGCCTTCCTTATGAATGGTTAAGGAGGATATTAACGACTGCAAATACAACCGGGACCAATCTTGTTCTCCTACTCGCGTGATCGTATACCATGCGTATATATGATTGGCCATATATAAATGAGGTCAACTTATTTTGAAATTGTCCAAATTTTGGAAACTTATTTATCATCATACAAATTATCATTTTATAGACAATATTAATTCGTAGCTCGTAAATTAAATAAAACAGTTAATATTTAATACTAATTTTAACGACCACGTCACTTCAAATTGACATAACTTTTTTATTTGTGAACCGATTGAACTAAATCTCACACTAAATGTTAACGGAAGAATACCGCAATATAATAGTGAAAACTGCATTTAAATAAATATTAATTTATTTCTTAATCAATGATTCTAGCTTTTTCATTTTCATTTAAACTTAATGAACGCACATCGACAAAACAATTCACAGCACGATTAATTTTGCGTTGTGTTGACAACCTAAAATATTAATAGCGCTGAATATCATGTGGTAAAATGGCAACATCTGCGACTCGCCTCCAAAATGTCAGACTTAAATGCACGCCGTAGTTTTGCATATTTTTAAAATTTGTAACTGGCAATGTGAATATTGTATAGAACTTTAATAAACAAAGTATCTCAGTTTCAATGGACGGACTGATTTATTTAAAAATTTTTGATATATCGTCATAATCAGCCTATACGCACAGACTATGTCACCTGGTAAGCGACAGGGTGTCTGGGACTCTCATCTGTCACCGGAGGCCTTCCAAAACCCCTACGGTGTACCTTCTGCGGGAGAATGAGACAAGGGAAGCCTTTATAGAGCCGCTCGGATTCTCATCGATGTCCTAGGCACAAGCTTACCCTAACAATGGATTTAAATAGGAAGAGCGGACTGGTGGATGGTAACGATAGCATTTTAAAGCACGAAGGAGTTTAAAATAATATGAAATTAAGCGTCACCAACCGCTGCGCTAATGAGTTCTACAATTTATTTTGATGTTTTAATAAGCAATGTCCGAATTTCAATGATCGTATTGAAGATGATGGAAATGAATTTTCGTAATAAATCAGGGTAGGATGCTACTTACATAGAAAAAATATTATCTTTTTTAAAATTGATAAATAAGGGTTCGCTCCAGTGATGATCGCATAACGATGTTTGTGGAAGCACAATTATTTAATTTAAAAAACAGGTTGCCTATGAACATAATTTAATTTTATGATGCTTAGAGGTCACAAGGTCACAGGTATTAACTTATTTTGTGTTATTTATTTAGTACATTAATTTAGTTTCTCTTATATATTTTGCCTTTTGAATTTAGTTTTTCAGGATTGTGCGGGTTAATAAAAAACAAAAAATTAAAGAAAATTTTGCAGAAGTTAACGAGCTCATATATTTTAATGCAAACAGTTTGACGTGAAAGGCGGCTTTATATCGTAGGCGTTAAACAACAATGAGCCGTCGACGCCATTGTGCCTTCATAGGCGCCACGATTTAGCAGGCCTTTAATGTTTAGTTATTAAGTCTGACTTGCACTATGATATTTATAATATGGCTATATTTATTCGGCATTTTTTATGCTAATCAGTTGCACAAACGATCATTAAATTATCATTAGTTTGAATCGACATTACCGATGCAAATATAAAAACATTTATTAGAGCTTAAAGTCTATCTATAATATGTATGAGACTCCATGTATGAAACAAGAAATTTTACGCACCAGTGTCTGGGAATCTGTTAAGGTTACAGTTTCAAAATGTTTAAAGGATCTACAAGTGAAGGAGTCGGGGGTTTTAAAGTCTCCAAAAACACGCGTCAATTGAAGCCACAATAGAATAATTCAGTCTGAGACTTTGAAATATTCTTTACCAATACTGTTTAAGAGTCTACTTATTTTTTAGACTTTAAAAGAATTTTATTATAAAACGGGCCAATAAAAAGAAAATATTCAAACCCTACGAAAAAGAACGCATATCGTGTGTGTATTCGATAATGTAATAACATTGGAATAATATATGAATGTGACTTTTCTTTTTACATCATTATATAAGAAAGCCAAATTGTGTAGATAACGACATATATTTGTATTACTGCTGTTTTACAAATAGAATATTGTAAATTATATTGCCAAAGATGGTCTATGGAAGAGTTTGAATACTTTTTGTCAAAAAATATTGCCAAGCTTATAGCTGAAGTCCATTCAAGGAGATTTTATATAAGTTTATATTTTTATATAAGTTAATATTGGAAAATCAATACACAGGGAATGTATGTGTGGGTTTTTTAATAAAAAAGTATCACAAAGAAAGTAAAGCTTTACAAGTATCAGTGATAGAGTGGTACTTCTAAACTTAAGTCTACAAGGCTCCAAACTATCACTTATTCGAGTCAGCAACGGACGAAGATATTGAAAATTTCTACACAGATATATATAATGCAATGGAACAAGCACATAAAGTAGATATATATATTTAAATGCAAAAATTGGCGAACCAAAACCAGAAGAATATCTGATAATGTAATCACATAGATATGGCGTACGAAATCAAAGAGGACAAAGGTTAATAGACTTCGCTCTCTAAAATAAAATCAAAAAGATACCAAATTGCAGATGGACGTGGCGGTCGCCAAATGGCAAGTACAAAAACGATATTGATTTTATTCTGTCCAATAAACCAAAAATGATACAAAATATCGATGTGTTAAACCTCAACTTTAAATCAGAGCACAGGACATTCCGGGCAAAAATAATATTAACAAAACTAAAAAAGAATAGAACGAGCTACATGACCCGCCAAATTTCAACCCTACAGAACGATGAAGAAATAAATAAATATAGAGACTGTATCATAACCTACAAATCTACTAGACATTCATGAAGACACTTCAATACAAATTTATCACGACAAAATAATAAGCGCTATCACCGAGAGCATTCAAAAGGGAATAACATCAAACAGGAAAAATGACATCTTATCTGAAAATAATCAATTACTTATATCAAGACAACAATCACTACAAAGGACAAAAAATAAAACAAGTAGCATGAAAAATGAAATTTCAGCGCTATACAAATTAATTAGCAAGCGCATGAAAATGACTACGTAAAATATAGATATAACTTGATAGAGAAACATCTACAACAATCTGGTAGTACAAAAAGAGCTTTTAAATAATAACAAACATATAAAACTTGGATAGAGGGTAAAAAATTGGTGAATATATACTGAATAAAAGGAAAAATATTTTAAACATAGGAACAGAATTTTATAAAACCCTCTACAGTAACCAGAACTACAAAATTACCTATCACAGAAACACAAATGACGAAAAAGTACAAACAAGTGATTGCAGAATAACACCAT